GCCCACAGTCATTAGCACTCTGTGTAGCTCCTTGTTTGAGGTGTTAACAATTCACTCATCCTTAGTCACTAGCACACCATGCAGCTCATTGTTAGCGGTGTTAACGAGTCACTCGTCCTTAGTCACTAGCACTCCGTGCAGTTCCTCGTTAGAGGTGTTAACCAGTCTGTATTCATTTTGAGGCTGAGGCATCTCCACCTCCAGGTTCTGAGGATCTATCTCCTCAACTTCTTCATCCTCTGTCTCATCTTGACCTTTGGCCTGAGCATCAATTCTTCCCTGAATGGCTCTTCTTAGCTGAATAACAGAAATTGTGGTCAGTTTGATTTGGATACACTATCAAGATTTTGTCAATTTTTCTTTTTATGTCAAAAGATGTTTTTTTTTTTTTTTTTGGAAAGCTTAAGAGAATTTGATGGCCAAAATTTACACAGATATTTATATGCTTACATTGATCATTATCATGGATTCCAAGTACTACTATCTTGATAAATACTGGTATATAAAACTTACTTCTTTTAATCCCACCACTCCAACAAGTCTCCCTGTGTTGGTGACATAAGCGTGATTAATTCCCAACAAAGAAAACAAAGAATGAACCTACAAATACGATTAAAAAACATCAAGTAAGCACATCAAAATACCTAAAAAAATTATTTATTATCAATTTTATCTGTGGGTCTTCATTATTTTTAAAATTCTGAGCAAGTTACCTTGTGTAGAGAAGTTCTCTCCACCAGCTGGAAGGGGGCGGGGTCTATCTGAACTCCCTCCCATTCTATTGGATCGGTAAGTCTTTGCTCCTCCCACTCTTCTTGCTGAGGACAAAATTCAACCAATTATAATTTTTCATATACTTGTTAAGATGCAGTTTAGTATTCTTGTTGAGATATATGTATCTAAAAATAAATAAACTTGTATTTTCTATGTCTTGCGTGAATGCTACTATGAATGTCTATGATGACTTGTTTGATATTGTAAAAAAAGAAATTTTCATTGGAATAAGTTACATACTGTAGAATCAGAACTTTTACTTGCAATAACTTTGATACTGTAGAAACAAATATTCTTCCTGGGATAAATCTTCGTTGTGATTTTTAAATTTAAAATGTTACTCTTGCATTTTTTTTCATTTCAAAAATAACCATAATGATTATATATCCTTATAAGATTCACTTAGAATTTATTTTCATAGATAAATGTCGTAAAAGAAATAAACAGAATTTATCTCTACAAAAACTATTTTTACAATATGTATTTTTTAAAATAAATTAAGTGTTAGCACTCACTTGTTCTGTAGTAAGATTCTTAATCTTTACTGGTTCTGGAGGCTAGTGAAAAGAACAATGATAGGCATTATTTAGGTACCATCAGACAAGATAGTGATGTTTGAATGTATCAAAAAGATACAAAGAAAAGGTAACCCTACACATACTTACCAGTCTAACTTTCTTTGCCAGATTAGTAAAGCTTCTTTTCTGAAAAAAGAGAAGTAAGCTATATTTTTGATCTAGGTCTATATTAAAGTTTGTTACTGGTATATATGTAACATTTATTTTGTTTTACTGAGAAGGCACTCTACATAGTAATGTGTATTTTTGACCCTCATACTTACATCAAGGATATATGGAGCATCTTCACATATACTCGTTTTTTTGGTACTGGCCAATTTTCTATAGTAAGCAGTAATTTCAGCTGAAGAAAAAAACATTTTGATAAATCTATACTTGTTGATAATATTGATAGTAATGTTGATAAGAGTTATGCTGTTGATGATATTTATGTTGATGTTGATAGTAATTCTGATGTTGATAGTAATTCTGATGTTGATAGTAATGTCGATGTTAATAGTAATTTTGATGTTGATAGTAATATTGATGAAGAAGAACTTACACTGAAGATTGGTTTCGCTGTTGGCCCTGTCTGATAGAGCTGAGGATGAGGATGATTTTTTGAGGATAGATCTGAGGGGCAGCTGTAACGTGTGATACACCTGTCTCTCTTTCTCTGACTCTAATGAGGAAGCACTAGACTGAAACAACAAACGATACCAATTCTTATTATGATTCTGTTATCATCTATAACAGTAGCATATACATCTTCATTTAATGTCTTTTTTTCCATCAATACTAATTTAAAAAAACATAGGTAATCAGAGATTACAGAGCTCACCTCAACGAATGTTGTCTTTAAGTAAGGCAAAGTCACACAATTAACCAACAAAAAGTATACATTCCAAAAATGAAAATATTTTTAAAAGAAATTTTGATCTGATACTTTGAAATAGACCTACATAAAAAATTTAAACTACTTCTTCTTCATGAAAATGTAATGAAAATCCAGCATCTGAAGCAAATTTGAGAGTTTTCATCTCTTGATGCAGATATTGTGAAAGTTTGGTTTATACAATGTTATATAAGCCTTATAGTTTTTGGTAATAGACCTGCAACCATAACTTTTGCCTTGTCTATTATCTGAAAAATGTATGTCCAATTCAGCATCCGAAGCAAGTCCATTAGTGTGCATCCTTAGATGTATCATCCATGCAAGTTTGCTCATTATAGGGCTCATAGTTTATTGGAAATGAAACATGCATTAAAACTAACATTTTCACTCATCCACAAAAAGTAGGTCAGATTCAGCTTCCGAAGCAAGCCTGGAAGTATGCATCCTTAGATGTATCATCTATGCAAGACTGGTCATTAAAGAACTCATAGTTCCTTGGAAATGAAACCTGCACCAAAAACTTTTAACTATTCACTCAACCGGAAAATGTAGGTCAGATTCAGCATCCGAAGCAAGCCTGGTAGTGTGCATCCTTAGACGTATCATCCATGCAAGCAGGGATTGACATTAACGGTTGTCCGATTGCCCGGGACAAGTAAATTCTCAGTTCGGGCAAGTGAAACTATCAATGTACTTGTCCGATCGGGCAAGTGGATATTTCTGACAGAAACATTTTTTTTTAATCTCGTATAAGTTTATAAACAACACAATAAATCAAACACTTGATTTCCGCCAAAAACGGGACGTTGTTGCATTCGGAATCCCTCGGTAGCGTTTCTGGATCTTACCTTTATTCAGAAATCGGGTTCGTTATTCTGTTTTCTTTCGTAGTTTAAAAACATACGATTATCTGTCTGACAACTTACATTACAGTCTTATTATGAAAGAGAGATTACAGAATACTTTCTCTATCCATACCCAATTAAGGAATTATAATTATGAAGAACACCAATTATTCACGGTGCACGATCATGGCGAGGTGTCTTCCTTCTGGCTTCACCTCAATTTTTTATAGGAAAAATGAGAATTTCAAACAAAAATCGTAAGAAAATAATATTCCTGCATACTCTAGTATGTGTTTTCAGGATAGTTACATGTAAATGACAGGAAAGTGTTTTATATACATGTACATTAACAAATGTAGCATCACCATCATATCAACATTTTTTCTGGCAGTTAACTTCAAAACAGAGATTAATTTGTCAACTTTTATATTTACAACAAATTAAGGTACAATAACTGTTTTTTTTTCTTAAAAATTTGGGGCAACCAAATTTTGCATTCGGACAAGTCAAAATTGTAGTTCACTTGCCCGAAGGACAAGTGGAAATAAAAGTTAATGTCTACCCCTGGCAAGTTTGGTCAACATAGGGCTTAAAGTTACTTGCAAATGAAACCTGCACCAAAAACATTAACCTGTTCGCTCAACTGGAAAATGTAGGTCAGATTCAGCATCCGAAGCAAGCCCGGTAGTATGCATCCTTAGATGTATCATCCATGCAAGTTTGGTCAACATAGGGCTTATAGTTACTTTGAAATGAAACCTGCACCAAAAACTTTAACCTGTTCACTCAACTGGAAAATGTAGGTCAGATTCAGCATCCGAAGCAAGCCCGGTAGTATGCATCCTTAGATGTATCATCCATGCAAGTTTGGTCAACATAGGGCTTATAGTTACTTGGAAATGAAACCTGTACCAAAAACTTTAACCTGTTCACTCAACCGGAAAATGTAGGTCAGATTCAGCATCCGAAGCAAGCCCGGTAGTATGCATCCTTAGATGTATCATCCATGCAAGTTTGGTCAACATAGGACTTATAGTTACTTGGAAATGAAACCTGCACCAAAAACTTTAACCTGTTCACTCAACCGGAAATTGTAGGTCAGATTCAGCATCCGAAGCAAGCCCGGTAGTATGCATCCTTAGATGTATCATCCATGCAAGTTTGGTCAACATTGGGCTTATAGTTACTTGGAAATGAAACCTGCACCAAAAACTTTAACCTGTTCACTCAACCGGAAAATGTAGGTCAGATTCAGCATCCGAAGCAAGCCCGGTAGTATGCATCCTTAGATGTATCATCCATGCAAGTTTGGTCAACATAGGGCTTATAGTTACTTGGAAATGAAACCTGTACCAAAAACTTTAACCTGTTCACTCAACCGGAAAATGTAGGTCAGATTCAGCATCCGAAGCAAGCCCGGTAGTATGCATCCTTAGATGTATCATCCATGCAAGTTTGGTCAACATAGGGCTTATAGTTACTTGGAAATGAAACCTGCACCAAAAACTTTAACCTGTTCACTCAACCGGAAGTTGTAGGTCAGATTCAGCATCCGAAGCAATCCCGTAGTATGCATCCTTAGATGTATCATCCATGCAAGTTTGGTCAACATAGGCCTGATAGTTACTTGGAAATGAAACCCACACCAAAAACTGCACCAAAAATGTTAACCTGCTCCAAAAACATTAACTTGGTAATTCCTTTGCTGAAATTGCAGCATCTGAAACTTTGTCTGGTACAATAAAACACACTAAAACCATTTTCCATGCATGTCTAATCAGTATAGGACACAGAAGTAATTAAAAAGAAAACTGCTCCAAAAAACTTAACCTTAACCTGGGACGCCGACGCCGACGCCGACACCGACGCCGACACCGACGCCGAGGGTATCACATAAGCTCCCCCCAACTTCGTTGAGGTGAGCTAAAAATATAATTCTGTAACTTTTTAGCAGTAAAAGAAATATTTGTGGTCATCCATTTATCACAAGTGTTTTGCAATGTCATCAAGTCACTTAATCTTTTGTAGTTCCATAACTTTCATTCAATATTACAAGACAGATTTATAAATAATAAATGTGATTGCCAAAAGTCAAAATAAAAGAGAATTCACTCAGTATTTTTATAAGAAAATGAAAAAGCATTTGAAAATGCTTTAGCGGATAAATAAGTAATCATATAAAGTTTCAGGATTTCCTTCAAAGTTCTTGATTAATTTTGTTACTTATTTTCCTCTTTTCTTTAGTGAGATAATAAATAATTTGTATTCTTACATCCTAATTAATTTTCACCAAGGGACACTAAATTTAGTACTAAATAGGACAGAGGAAAGTTATTTTTGTACCAGTGGGGAAAAGTTTAAGGTTCAAAAAATTAAACTTGACACTGGCCTTCTAAATAATGACTCTGAACCTTGCCCTCTTAATAATTAATCTCATCCTTGCCCTTCTAAAAGGATTATTTCTGGCAGTCCTTACAGACATTCTACATTACAGGGGTCAAACATCCGCTGGTATTTATCTATTACCTGTTTTGCCTGTCCCTATCATGTAAAATAAACATTATATGATAATCTATTTTCCCCTCATCTCTTTATTTAATGCTAATTATTTGCCACATGTTTCAGTCTATTCAGCCATAACATTTACATAGTAAATTACAAAAAATGAGGAAAATAAAAATGTTTTTGTATTTATATGTGTACCATTGCAACTTCACTTCAGTTTCTGTACTTCATCATTCTTAACTTATAAGTGAAACAAAGTCTTTAAAATATGTCTTTAACTTTGATCTTAAATTATCACAAGATGGTAAAACCCAGAGGGCTTAGGCATCTTTTTTACTTCATCACATCATCTGGTAAATTACGGTACAGTAAAACTCGTTTAGTATGAACACGGATATAGCGAATTCACGGATATAGCGAAGTTTTTCTGGGTCCCCAGCAAAATTCTTAACAAATCTTTGTAAAATTTTACGGTTATAACGAACTCTGATATAACGAATTTACGGATATAGCGAACTCATTTTGAGTCTTGATGAGGTTAAATACAATGAAATTTACATCTTTTATAATGAACTTTCAAAGATCTTAAAAATGCTAAATTGAACTGATTTTATTTTCTTGTAGCATTTGTTTATAAAATTCAATTCATAATAAAACCTTAGTTATCGACAGTATGTTTTGTAATATTTGCTTCCCTAACATATTTGGTAGTAATACTTGAAGGAAAACATTCATATTGCGAACTCGCTATAAATGTTTATACGAATTCATTATACGTATATAACGAATTACGGATATAACGAATTGAATTCAAAGGTCCCCAGGACTTCCCTATAACCGAGTTTTACTGTAGTCACATAATAGTGTTAAGATGAACAAGAACTTAGCTATCTTGCTGCAGAGTTGTACAGCAGTCTTTACTTTGACTTTCAATGAGTTACCAAAAATATCTAAATACATGTATGTTCTTTCAACTGCCTCCAACCTATGAAGTAAGAAGACACTAGGCTAATAGTTCACCAAAACATATACATTCTCTTTTCTATATCCTCTGTGTAATGAATAGGACCTGCATTGTATGTCTCTGTTTCGCTCGTCAAACTGTGTAACAGAGTTTTAAAACTCAAATACCGATTACACAAATATATCAACTATAAATATTGAGATAAATGTAGAACATGCATTTTGTAGGATTACACTATAATTTTTAAGTTGATTGGACAACTCCCTTACTTTTGCTAAAGCAATTGGAAAGGGGCCACTTTCTCAAATTTCTAAATTCACTTTTAAAAACAAATCTTCATCAAAATCTCGAATACAATTCAAATACATTTATAAAATTGCCTTGCTTATATCCCCTCTCAGATAATTACTTAAACCCCTCTTTTCCATTAACATAAAATGTACATATATGCCTTTAAGTTTTATATACCAATATGTTGCATCATAAAACTAACAAATAACCTGTGCATTAAACAAAAAAAATCAAATTTTATATTTACATATTTAAGGTTCTAAAATGATTGCTTTTTTTCAGAGAGTACATACAGCAACAAGTGGAAATGTCAAAAATTTGTTCCTGCTTCTACTTTAACTATACAGTTTAGAGATTTGAAACATGTAGCTTGAAAGTAACCCCAATAAACACTATTCACACAAATCTTACAAATTTGAAAAATAAAACCTACAGATCTTGGCATTGAGAATCTGCTTGGACTGGGTGTCCTTGACCTTTTCTTCTCCTCGACCTTTGACACCAGGAACCTGGACTTATTCTGTGGGATGATGTTGATTGTTGGGGGTGGGGTGATGGACCGTTTGATGACCGACACGTCAGTCATAGAGGAAGAGTTACTTCTCCTTGATTCATCATCCTCATCATCACTCTGTATAAATATTTTCTGGTCTTTGCTGAGATGAACAAATAAAACTCGCTCCAGTTCAAGTCTTTGTATAGAACCAAGCAGAATCATGGAGTCTGGAATAGAGTATAATACACACATTCATTTGTACTGTAGTACAATGTATTGAAATCTTGATGCCATCATAAATATATAGATATTATAATTTTGCACCTTTCATCCTTGTCGCATGAGGGTGAATTTAAAGTGAGGCTAAGAAAGAGCATTAATATCTCTTAGGCAGTATCTTTGCAAGTGCTTAAGAGCAACAAGAGATGTTTGTAAAACACTTATGCCCCCTCCCCCCAAATTGGAATTTTTCTAAGTCCAAAAGGGCATAACTCTGAAAATGGTGAGATTGTACCTAGAACAAAACTTGACCAAGATATTTATCTGATAAATCTGTATACCAAATTTCATCTCAGTATGTGCAACCTCTGCAAAGAAAATGAGCGGAAACTGCAAATAATTGGAATTTTTCTAAGTCCCAGGGACATAACTCTGTCAAAAATGGTGCGATCGTACCCAAAACAAAACTTGAGCTAGATATACCTCTGATAAATCTGTACGCTTAATTTCATTTTGGTATGTGGAACGGTTGCGAAGAAAATGAACGGAAACTGAAAGAAATTGAATTTTTTTCTGATCCAAGGGGCATAAATCTGTCAAAAATGGCGCGATTGTACCCAAAACAAAACCTGACCTAGAAATTCATGTAATATATCAGTATACCAAATTTCATTTCAGTATGTGCAATGGTTGCAAAGAAAATGAACGAAACTGCAAATAAATGAAATTTTTCTAAGTTCAAGGGGCATAATGGTGCGATCGTACCCAAAACAGAACTTTACCTAGATATTCATGTGATATATCTGTATACCAAATTTCATTCCAGTATGTGCAACGATTGCGAAGAAAATGCACAGAAACTAAATGGACCGACAGACAGCAGCAAAGCAATATGCCCTCCTTTCTTCAAAGAGGGGCATAAAAATAGAGCAGTCCAGGCCCAAGGATCATGAAACAAACATAAGACTTAAGTCAAATTTTCAATCATCTGTAAAATATTTATTAATAACTGAATTTATCTCTAAATTTGTAGATATCAAAACTATTCTGAAACAAAATTGACATATATTTTAAAGGGGCATAGACACAGTTTCAGCTAAAAATTTTCAAATTCATTTTTCCATTTTTACAATATCTAACTAAGGTCTTTCTAATGATCATCAAAAATTTGAACTTCAGTTGTTGAGATACAAGACAGATTTAGAGCTCCAAACCTTTGTTATGTAAACAGGGTCTGTGTCACGTTTTGTTTACCTACATGTATATTAATATACTAATGTATGTTTGTTCAAAGCAGATAATTTCAATAAAGAATTTAATTCTAATGATAACTAGTGCTAATTGTAACGGGGACCGTTACAGATGTTCCCCAAACGCTCCCCATGTCCCTTATCGTGCCTTATTCCTCTAAGACCTTTTATAAATATGCTAAGTATCCCAAGATTTCATTTAAGAATATAAAAGTTACAATGATATCAACTATCAACGATATATTGTTTAACGTTTTGCATGCGCGCACACGTACATGTACATGCATATGCAAGATGATTATGGCATGTTGATTAAGCGATTAACATATCTTTCTATCCCGCGAATCAAAGAAAAAAATACATATATAAATTTACCATTTTTCAAGCATATGTCATATTTTTTATATCGATTCACATTTTATTTCTGTACTTATTTTAACCTCGGGCTCAAAGTTGGTTTTATTCCGACGACAAGGCAGGGTTAAAGTCGACTAAGGGTATCACGCCAATACCTAACCAATCAAACTGAACTTATTCAATAGTAGTTCCATACATGGAAAAGGGATTTTCCTTTCTGTTCAGAATTTTTTTAAATATTTCCTCTCAGACCATTTTGACAACTCTGATACCTGTGCCTGGTAAATTCTATATACTTTGTAAATAAATATATAAAGGTTTTTTGACCGGAACTATTCATTTTTTCCAATGCATAGGGGGCTACTCTCTGGGTTTTACAAGAGATGTTTAAAAAGACATTCGTGTCAGCTAATGTGACCTATATTGTTTAACACCTTCTTATCAATATTTTTTTCATGAATGCAAATATCTGATTATTTTACGAAGGAGCGTATATGTATATTGATTTTTTAATATACCGAAAATCGCTATTTCTGGTGATTGCGTAATTCTAAGAAAAATTCAAATAAATTTCAAAGGTAAATTAAACAAAGGATGCTTGGTATTAAAATATTATTTCAAATCAGTAGAATCGAATGCTATTAACGACATCTGAATTAATAGGCTATAAAAGGCTTATATGCCAACTTTGGTCATCTGCACTTTAATTTTAAACACAACAGGATTTGTAATTTTTTCTGTATAAATTAATAATTTCTATATACTTTGGAAACTCAAATGAAATATTTTAATACACTTTCCTCGAGCTCTTTTCTGCAGTTTTCCTGAAATTTTATGTGGGTCCGAGGTGTTATTTGAGTTTAACAGTGATTCTCTACGTTGCCATTAATTTGATTTGTTTGTGCGTGTGTGTGTGTGGGGGGGGTATTTTTATTCTTAACCTATTTAACGTTGGAGTTGAATCTTGTATCTTATTCCAAGAACTTAAGATTGATTGTGACATTTGGATGAAAGGTCAAGGTCATTAAAAACCACCACATCTTTAACTTCTAACCTGTCAACCGAAATAAACTCTGAATGGTGTTTCTAGATACATGTACATGTACTTCATGTTTCTTTTTACCCTTGGGTCAAGGACAAAGGTTAAGGTCGATTTCAAGTTCATAGGTCAAGGTGATTTTGGTAAATAGTTAATATCAACATTTTATTCAGGTTACCAGTGACCTTGACCTAAGTTTCAAGGTCAAGGGTAAAAAGACCTGCATGCTTCAGTATGTTACATGTCTTGACATTTAGAAGTTCTTAATTCTGCATGAACATCAAACACTCAAGTATACTGTCTTTTAATACATTGTGTGCGGTCGCATGTGCATGCACGTCCATGTATTTACTTTTGATAGTAGTATAATGTAGGCAATCATTATATCTATTCATATTTGAAATTTCACCCTGTATTATTGAGAACCAAGAAAGTTGTAGGCATTTAAAGTTTTAGCCAATCAGATTGCAGCACACGTGCATGTGCGTGCGTTCATGATTATTCTTATATATCATGCTGTAGACCTTCATAATGTAAGACTATGTTTAAAATTTCAAAGGATTTTGTCAGAAAACAAAATAGATATTTAGACTTTAAGTTTCAGCCAATCGCAGCGAAGGGCACCTGCGTGCGCGTGAGATCTTGCTATTTTGACCATGTCATCATGTCTATACTACTATTATATCCTTATATTATGAGTTTCAAAGTATTTCATCCAATATTTAAAAAGTTACGGCTAAATCTATTATATTGGTCATTTCACGTGTTACACGTGCGCGCACCTGCACGCACGTGCGCGCAAAATGACCTTCGTTCCGCACATCTACATAACATACCTAGTGACCCTAAAAAGGTTTCACCTAGATCGGATGAGTAGTTTACGAGAACACTCGCGGACAAAAAAGTACCGGAGAACAAAGAAAAAATTCAGAAAAAGTAAAAACAATATGTTCCCAAACTTCGTTTGGGGAACATAATTAGACTGTTTCTAGTGGTTTGCTGAATTTCAATTTGTTATGAATATGATATTTTCTATATGTAAACAAAAACAAGGCATGAGCCTTGTTTACATTTTGAGGAACTTTAAGTTCTGTATCTCATTTTTTAATCAATAAATGATGTTCCAATTTTTGCTGATCATCAGATGATGCCTTAGCTAGGACTTGTAAGCATTGAAATTGGTTGAAAAACATCAGTTGAAACTGTGTCCATGTCCCTTTAATTTTTGTCTCCTTGTCTTCAAAAACATTTTGGTACAACATAAAGATTTTGACTTAAGCTTAAGACATTTCATGATCCTGGGACCAGATGTACGAGGGCTGTTCAATAAATAATGTCCTCGGTGCTCGGAAAGAAGCAAAAGACGCTTTTCAATTATTTATTCTTAATGATTTAACTTATTATTCTCTTTTAATTAAAACACACGTCCGTAACATTTTTTACCCAATTTCTAATTGTTTTTAGAACTCATCTTTGGGTATGACCCTTAGTATACTGGAAAATGGCAGATCCTATAATTTCCTGGAATTGTTTCTTCCTTCTGAAGGGTGTTTTTTCAGGTTTGGAAATAGAAACAAGTTAAAAGGTCAAAGATCTGGCGAATATTGTTAATGTGAAAAAACATTAACTTTCTGTTTATCCCCAAAACTCCTTTACTCTTCAGGGCGTGTGGGTTTAGACACTGTCATGAAGAATTTAATGTCATGGATTCCTGATTCTGGTTCCTTCCTCTAATAAACCTTTCGATTTTTTTGCAAAAAAAATGCTTTCTAGACTCCTGCAGAAATTAAACTGTCTCCCTGAATACAAATTTGAACAACAAGACCACCAATATTTAAGAAAATTGCACATCAATCTGTCTTTGTGCTCTTGCAATTCTTTGCTCTTGTCAGATCTTCTCTGTTTTTGTCAAGTACATCTTATGGTAAATTTTGTTTTGAGGGTTTTAAGCAATATATTCAAGTTTCATTTATCTGTTTGAATTTCAAACAAACATGGATAACCACAATTACTGATATTTTAGAATAATTGTTAAGACATTCGTACACGCTGTCGTTTTCACTAATTTTTCAAAATATCGGGCGACCTTTGAGTTCTAAGCATTTTACCGTCAAACGTTTCTTAAAAACAGTGTAAATTACTCCCGAAATGATGTCTATCAAATTTGCTTTGTGTTTTAAGTCAATCATACATCATCAAATATTATTTGTTGAAATTTGGCAAACAGTACATAAGTTGCTATAATTTTTTGTTGGCAAGGACAGTACTCATTTTTGATGCCCATTATATATTTTTTTTATCATTGAAATCCACCTGCTCATTTGTCTATAAAACAGGCATTGGTTGCTGTAAATTTCACATATTTCAGTGAAAATTTCTTTGGGATTTTTAACAAGTTTTACTGCAGCTTCAATGAAGCTTTTATTTTCACTCTAGTTTACTGATTCTTTACCATTCATTTATAATGCAGTGTCTCGAATAGCCCTTGTTTTCCAGCTTCTCACAATGAAACTATGAGATGAAAAGTGGTCACATAAACTGTTATAAATTCATTGAAGATTCTATAATGAGAGAAAGTCAAGCTTAATGTCATGATATCTGTATTTTATGTCATACAGTTCAGGACATTATTTATTGAACAGCCCTTGTATAACCCTGCATACATAAGCTGTGTAAAGTCAGATGTCAAACTTGCTATTATCTTAACCACCAGTAAATTAGGTATGTTATTTTACCTGGAGCATCAACTAGAGGGTAGCTTTTGTAGTTGGTAGAGGTTAGAAGTTCTCTGAGTTCTCCATAACTTGATCTAAATGAAATACTGGCAACCTCCTTGACCATGATGTCTTCTATAAATACTTTCCAGGCACTGAAACGAGAATATTTTACATATAATGTGTAATCTTAAGGTGTTTTTATATAAATATTGCATGTAAGTGTCATTGAAAATTTTTAAAACCATTGTCAACATGCTGCGCCTCGGTTGACAATGTTTTTCTGGGGTGAAAATTTTCAATGTTACACTCAATACATGCAATATTTCTATATTATACTGAATGTTTAATACAAATACATATTATAGTGAACCGTGCGCGCATAAATTCCGCGCAGTCGCTATTTTTTGTAATACCACCCGTCGTCAAGCAATGTTGACTGTTGCTAGGCAGGAGGGCGTGGCTTCATTATTCAGCGAGTAGTAGTGTTTTTTATCAAATGTTTCTCGACGAATCAGATTCAAGTAATTTACAAGAAAGTATAATATTAAAATATATAATCTTAACATGTTTTAAAATATAGTCATTCTTTAATTCAATTTTGATAAGAAACCACATGTTCAAAAAATATAAATGCTCTTGTTTGGGCCACATTGCTGTTGCAGAATCAAGAAATGTAACAGAATTCTAGGTCCTTGTATGCAGAAAGATAAAAATAACCTCCAGTTAATGACAGAAGGCAGATGGAAAACGGAAACAAAAAGCATTCATTTGTGTATTCTTTCTTCGCATCAAAAGATGCTTTTTCCTTGGCTACATACTTTGCTTTTGCAGATACAATGTCTGGAAGATATGGCAACTGTTTGAGCTTGATGATGCTATCATAGAAGGACGGCTGGAACTTCCCGGCCACTGCATTGGAGATTAACACTGCCACCTACATAGTAAATAATAGCAAACATATACTATTGTAAACTCTTAATATATTGGAAACGCATTAAAAATTCAAACTAGCTACTTACAACTGCTGGAAGTACATGACTGATTTGACCAGTGACTTCAAATACAATCACTGATGTTGAAATGGTCCGAGTGACAGCCCCTGAAAATGAGGCTGCTCCTAAAGGTAGAGGAGAAAAACATTATAAACAGTGATATTCTTTTTGTTCTTTATAAGCAGCCTACGGTTATTTATCTTCAGTATATTTAAACCCTTGCACATCACTTGGGTAAAAAAACATTCTACAGTGATATTCATTATATATGTCTTCTTTACAAGCAGCATTATTATGATTTCTCCTCAGTATATTGTACAAACGTCACTCTGTTCACTGACCTACGACAGCGTAACCTCCCGGTACAATTTTATTGATGATGTCACCCGAGGGAATCCCCTCAGGGAACCAGGCTGCCATACACTCCCCCGTCAGGCGACCAAAGGCAGCTCCTAAAGAACAATAAAATAAAAACATTTCTCAACTGACTGCAGCATTTATTTTTCTTGTATACCTAAATGTATTTGAATCTTGGTGCATAAAAATATCAATTTCATCAAGCTGAAAATTGTTGAAAGTGAATAAATTTATTATTAAACATGTTAAAAATAAACTTACCCACTAAGAAAACTGGTACAAATACACCAGCAGGAACTGGCATGGTATTGCAGAAAGCTCCAAACATAAACTAAAATATCCAAGTTTAAAATCAGTTATTGTTCATATTTACTTGAAGTTATTTGCAGTTATGACTTTGTTCTCTCAGTATTTGTGACCTACATTAAACACTACGAAGATGACTAGGTTGACATATATATTGGTGCTGCCATGTTTCCAATGGCTGATGATTTCCTCGTCTCTCAGACCCTCTGCCTGTCCTGTTGTCCATGTAATGTTACTGAACAGTTCATTGATTGCCTGCTTGGATGTCAACTACAGTAAAAAAAAAAATCACACTACAAACATTTACAATGGAAACCATTTAAAACCATGTTTTAAAAAATGTTTTTCTCTCTCTCAACTGACTTAAAATGTCCTGCTTCTAAATTTTTCATAACCTCTTGGAATAAATAATTTTTTAAAGATGAAATCACCAGATTAATAACTATTTTAACTTGAAATAAACCGTCAAAGTTTTTTTCTTTTTTTTACCAGTAAAACTTTAAAGAGGAATTTTGTTTTTATATATAAAAGTAATCCATTACAATGGACAAACACTTTTTTAAAGAAAAAAATCTGAATAAACAAAATCTCCAATGTACATTATCATTTGTTAAAAGCAAAACAATTTTTCGATGAAACAAAATAAAAAGTGCTCCTGCTAAACCGCATAGCACCCTGAAAAATTAAAAATAAAATATACTAACAGCACATATTAAAAAAAAAATGTTAAAGATATGAAATCACAATCATAATGTGTCAGATAAAACGGCAAAATTGAAATGACCCATGAAAAGCATTGTGTGTGTGTGTGATTGTGGTGTGCAATTTGAATTTATTAATTTTATATTATTGACTTTGAAGGAATTATGTATTTTTTTCTTTCAAAGTGATCTGTTTAAAACTGCTAACTTACTTTTTTTGTAAGAAATCTGTTATCTTGCGATGTCTTCTAGTGAGCAAAACAATTTTTCGATGAAACAAAATGAAAAGCGCTCCTGCTAATCCACACAGCACGCTGAAAAATTGAAAATAAATATATTCATAGCACATGTTAAAAAAATAAATGCCTAAGTACATGTATATGTAGATACAATCACAATGTGTCAGAATATTGTCATTTTCCTAAATTTGATTTTGACAAAATGAAGAACATGAATATTGTGTGTGTGTGATTGCAGTGAGTTTTGATCTTTCCTTTATTCATTTCAATTACAGATCTACAACAATTGGGCAACAATTGAAACGTAGAAATATGTAAGTCATTTATAGCAATATTTAATTCAATATCTCAAGTCTACAAGTACTTTGTTCCGTTTCAATACTGTAAACCAACTTTTATTCACGACAACTTTATTTTGCAAATTAGCAGCTAGGGGTAAACCAGTTCGTGATGATTAATTTTCCTGATCAAGCCTATTTTTTGTCTGTTCTTTATAGACACAGATACTTTAAGGACCAGTTCGCGGCATGAAATATTCGCAATGATGAGGCTCTTGTGAACCTTGCAGAAATTTCTCTCACGAATAAAGGTTGGTTTACAGTAAATGAGAATATAACCTACCCCATAATAGCAAAAACAAGCAGCTCTAGAACATCAAAGGGGAAATCTGTTCTTAGGGTGGTTTTGAACATAGCTGTGAGAGTAGCTATTATAAAATGAAAAAACTGAAATCAATATTTAAAACAAAAGAGCATGAGCCATCTTATACATAAAATGGCCCTGTACTTATATCAATTAATTAACTATCACCCTCTTTCCATTTTCACATATCAAAATAAAGTAGACACTTGTTGCTCTCATGTTCTATAATGAAATTTCATTTTGAGAATCCAATTATTAGAAAACAGGCTTTGACAAATTGCGATGTTCTTGAAATTTGCAGAAAATATGCATATTTGACTACCTTCAACAAAGAATTAAAATATGAGCACAGCCCACGATCCAAAAAATAAGACATGTTTTTTGATCTTCAGAAATAGACCTTTCTTTATATATTGGCATATTTTGGATCAGAGGTTGTGCTCTATATGAAATATTTAAAAAACACTTCAACTTTAGGTCATTTTCAAAGAAATTTACAGGATATGAGGAAAATGACGCATTTTATGACGTCATAATGCATTGACTAGATGTGAAATTACGTCACAATTAATAGATACATGGTCACCAACAGTCCAAGTTACAAATACTGCATTTGCAACCTAAACTGAGCGGTTTTGAATTTTCAGAAATTCTCAGGGCCGAATAAAGCCTAAAGTGGCTCTACCTCTTTAACCAAAATGCACTTTGGCTCTTTGCTACATTACTGTAGAATTAATTCTTAAGATAGCCTTCGGGTATATATATAAGCCTTGAGAAGGGATAACTGTTATAAGCCAACTCATATTTGCGTGTTTTATTTTAAAATTGATCTATAACTTTTAATTTTTCTGGAAACTTCCTCTTAATACACAATCATTTAAATGAATTTCAATTGAAGAACTACAGAAAGTTGCAAAAAACAGGTCAAACTATTTGATTTGCAGAGAAAAAAAATCTAAAATCATCAAAGAATCCATATGTGAATGCTACTTCATGCCTGCAGATCTGGTCAGAAAATTGAAATATATGGCTTTAGAATTTTCACTCTCCAGAGCTCACTGCATAAATACCTTCATTTTTAAACCAGATGGCAAGCATTCTTAATGTGACAGCCCCACAAACGGCAGCAAAGAATCCTCTCCAGTAATTCCTGACAGCAAAGTAGGTCGCTGTGACCTCAATACTAAATAACACACCTACAACAAAAGGTAGATCAATTTCATGAATAAATAAATAGTTTTGCCATTTGATTGCTTTGAGGGGAGGGGGGGGGGTTAACTAAATACAAAATACCGTATAAGCAGAATTTTTCGAGGATTTAATTTTGGCATTATTAGCTAGGGTGCCAAGATCGCTAAAATTGAATATCGCTCAAAATTAATTGCGTTTTATTTGTAATAGCTTCTTTAGTGAGCTTTTTAAAATTGCTAAAATGACATTTTGCTAAAAATAAAATACCAATTTTAAAGGACAAATCGCTAAATTTGCGTCTCACTAAAGTTTCTACTTATACGGCAATAAATTTTAAAATATCCAATCAAACTTTTAGAATTACAATACTCAAATACTGGATATATCATAATGAATGTTTTGATTTGCAAATAATTTAGAAAAGTGCATCCAAAACATTGTAGTTGTAATCAGCCTTCTGAACTGCTTGTAACGCCTCCAGAAGAAGCAATAAATCTCCTGACAATTTATCTCCTTGTGTCATAATCAAACTGACAGATTTCCAAGATGTGACAGTTATTGAAACAATGATGTAAAGCCATGCACCAGGTAACTCAACACACTGTGCAAAATACTTGTAGCTTCCATAAAAACAATCATCATCTGAAGTGTAAGAAAGTCTATAGGCAACAATACACTGTACTATGGATACCTTCTAAACTGTCACAATAACTGATTGATTTCACTTCCTATTTAGCTGATTTCACTTCCAACTTACTGGAAGAAAAAATGAAATTGATTTTCTTTGCCAAAGGTATGAATTAAACCCCATTTCTTCATAATTCCCTCCATAGCAAAGTTCTACTACAAAACAATAGCTTTTATGCTTAAAATTACTTTTATGATTACACTCAAGCATGGGTACAGACAGACAAAGTGCACAGATCTTGGGAAGAATGTATTAACTTAACATAATTTATGTAACCTGGCATGTATCTCATGGTATAAATTTCAATAACGAGATACATCATCTACTCTAAGTGCACTTTAAGTGTACTTGTGTAGAGCTTTAAACTATAATGATAAAACACTTGTTAAGACATTGACCCCATCTTTTTTGTCAACTAACAGACCATGAAATCGAATGTCACTTTAATAAAACATTACTGTATAAAGCATTGTTTATTATCAAACCACTTTCTTAAAAATTGTGCTACTGCTAATATTTAATCTCTTTTCACATGATAACAAATTATTATCAAGTATTGTTAACAGCACAATCAAATCAGGAGAGGTCCTTCAATAAATTAAAATTTACAAAGGATGATATCATTACGGCATCTCATCTCATCTCTTACATACTCCACTCCAATATTGTTTTGTACCAAGGTGAATCTGACATACTTTCTAAATCAGTTGAGGTGTGTGATTGTTACATGTTTCAGATTCATATCAAACACCTGTATAACAGTGATGGGAACTCTGTGACAGTTACCTCCAATAGGAGCCGCAAATGTGGCCGCCACTCCAACAGCACAGGCTGCTGCCAGCATCTCTGTTCTACGAGATTCATTCTGTAAAAGAGGGGAAAAAGGTTTAATCAGTGTCACGATATATATACACAAGTTTGAACAAGGATTATAACAAGATCAGATAAAAAATTCAGAGTTACAACCAAATCACATGGATTTTGATTAAGAAAATTGTGTTACATTTCATATGACTTTGTGTACTCTCCTTGTCATATATTCAGGGGGTTAAAAATTTAATACTTGTATTGTTTTTACTTCAAATAAAAATGAATGTACATGTTATTGATTTTCTAAAATTATATGGTATATTCCAACAACATGTGTACCTACTTCATATATTCCTTTAAATGTTGTTAATTTTCCCAGTAATGTTGCAACAATACTAGCAATGTGTACAAAAGGACCCTGAAAAAAAAAAGATTAATCAATTAACCAATCAGATAACCATTTACCGGAGCATGTTGTAATTGGTATCTCATACAGTAATACTTTGAGTACACGAGTACCCAAGTGGCAAGATATAGGAAATGAGTAAAAAGTCCCAATCTTTTTGTAACCTTTAACCTCAATGTATCAAATTCTTGGTTATCTCAAGGCTTTTTTCTGCCCAACTGATAACTCATGGCTACTTTATAAATGCACTTGTATCCTCTTGCAATCCTTTTTTTAAATATTAAAAATATTAATTCTGTTGTTTTTTTATTTATGGAATATAAAAATTTATCAGTTCACTTAATAGCTCTCCTTTGAAGGTATTTGGATTAAAATTTAATGATGCTTCATGCAATGCTTGATAAGACATATATATAATACAAAAAATGTCATGACATGAACCAGAAATTAAAAAATCTTAGAATCACTGATTATTAGCTGATTTATTTTACTTTATAAGGACCTCTGAATTATATTATTATAAAATGATTAGTAGTTGAGGTTGTACTAGCATAATAAATCAGACAGCCATTAAGTACCTCAGAGCCTATCACAATAATTACAAAAACAATATCAAAAATGCTTATACTTCAAAATCTCGCTATAATTTATTTTAATGAATGTGCAGTTCTGAATAATTTCTTAAATGGCATTTGAATCTCAGCTAAAATTAATTCTCAGATTAAAATAAACCTACACAAAAGCACTTGAAAGATTTATCGAAATATTCATCGAGAAACTTTGATTTGCATATTGAATAAATGATTCCTAAAACATGTGTCACACATATGTTCTGTGATCAAACTTGACTACTCATATCTTCAAGACAACAGCTTTTTAAGCTAATTAATATATCTTGTAGCTATTTTTAAATCTTACAAAAAATCAGTACAGTTATGCAAATGAATCTGGCTCTGTAGAATGGGGGTGTAATAAATCTAAAGTGATGAATGTTACATATTTTTAGAGCATTAACTCAAACCCAAATTATATTCTGTACAGATAAGATATATATGCAGGAAATAAAGTCTACATTAATTTTCTGTACTACATGTATATGTCAGCAATTATAACCTCAAAAAAATTCACACTCCATCCTGGAGTATGCTTTGTTACAACGCACTTTGAAAAATTACGCACTTTGAAAAATTTTTTCAAAGTGCGTTAAATTTTGGGACCAAGTTGACCTTTGAACTAGAGAGAAAAGAATTGTCATTGTGTGAACATAGTGTTTCTGTTACCATTAAGGGTGAACTTAATCAAAATTGAGTACATGCATCTCTTGTATTTCTTCTATTTATTTTTTTTCTTATAAGAAGTTTAACATGGGAATTGGAAAGAAGAATATAAATACACAACTATTATTTTCTTCTGTGAAGAGTCACAGATGTCAGATAGTGAAAGGAAAAGAAAAATTCATGACCCAAATTCTTACACTCGCTTAAATACTTTACTGTACTTAATTTTTTTTTTGCATGCATTTTATGTAAACTTAAATTTATATGAAAGTTTTCCCCGTCACATCCAGTCTCATGTTAACATATATTGTATGGGAGTCATATGCAGACCTATGTAAAAATTGTTCAAACCCAAATCCTGGTTGTTGTTTTATTAATGTGTGCATATCCTTGTTCTTTTTTTTATGCAAAAAAAAAGGACTCCACCTTAAATTATATCTCATTAAAAGAATAAATTACAGAATTGTATTTGATGAAATAGATTCAAGGTAAAATTTAAAACATGGTATAAATTTATGTATGTTGTGTGACTGTGCCAAAAGAATGATTTCCATTAGCGGTCATCTTAAAGAGATATTCTGTACTCTATATGTCTTTATACTGTGATTCAATGTATGTTTTAAGTGCAATAATTTTTTTTTTCTTTTAAATTCCAAATAAAATGTTTTCTTTTAGTCTTTTTTAAAGATGTTGATCAAACTTATGAATTATACATAAACATTTATGCCATCAGGAACTTATGACTTCAGTGTATTCTTCCATATAGGTAAAGTAACAGACAAACCTCTTAAGTTGTGCTTTTATAAAATCAAACAAAAAAAATATTGAAAGTCATACAACATCCCCATAAATCTCTTAAAAACCAGAAAACATAATCACTATCATGTATAAACTACAATGATATTTTTAAATATGCACAGATTGTGGGGAGCAATGGCACTTGTGGTTTCAGAACATGCACAAAATCATGACTGATAGCAGGAGAAGACCAACATAATTGCATGCAGACATGCATAATGAATTAGTTTGCCTGTATTTAATGCATATATCTTAATTCTAATTTAAGTTAGAGGTAACCAGCATTTGTTTTTGCTTCTCAAATAATCATATTAAATTAAATGAAAACCTACAAACATGTAAATGATGGATTAAAATTAAGGTTAATGAAATTTATCAGTACTTCGTTCCATTTAATTAAACACCCTCTATACAGAATAGCTAAAGAGAAACATTTTTGGACTTTGTACAAAAAGGGTGTAGCTCTTGAGAAAATTATATTGTATATAGATGTAAATATTGAGTTTATCTATTTCACTCATCCAGAGATAAGTAAAAATTGCATACAACCCAAATCTGTCAGTATGTATGTTTTATTAATGTGTGCATCACAATCAGCATCTGAAATACATTTATGCAAAAAAAAAGCACCCCTGCCTTAAATTATTTGCTGTCTTAAGGGCTTTCAGTTAACTGAAATGAATTTACTCCAAAACCTTCAAGGTAAAATTTAAAACATGGTATAAATTCATGTAAGTTGTAAAGTGTGTGCCAATTAATTGTATTTTTAGATGTATCATCCCTGCTAGTTTAGTCAGTATAGGCTTATAATTACTTCAAAATGAGAACTGCTTAAAAAAATTTACACCTGTGATTTAATGTATCTTTTAAATGCAAAAACCTGGACTGGTTTTTTGATTTAAATTCAAAGTAAAATGTTTTCTTAATATAGTCTTTTTTAAAGATGTTGATCAAATTTTAATTATACTGATGCCAAAGGTTTATGCCATCAGGAACTTATGACTTCAGTGTAAGCTAAAAAATAGGTAAATCAATACACAAACATAAAACTTGTGCTTTTATAACACAAACAAAACGTTTTTATTTAAATGCTTACCTCTTTCCCAATAGGAAGTGTACTCCCTAACGAGGAACAAAGTCCTACTACTTTGGACACCAGTGTCCTAAATGTAAGAAATTCTTTTAACACCACGCCTCTTAAAATAGTCTTCATCTCTGGGATACCAGACCCTGCAATTATTATTATATATCTGTCATTTAATAACTCTTTTAAAATTTCAAATCATAATACAGTTGAACTTGGATATCAATAACAGGGATATCTTAATTTTAATTAAAGTATATGCCCCCCCCCATTTGTTTTTATTTTAACCTCAATAATCATATTAAATAAATTTGTTTTCCTACATAAATGATTGAATTTTAAAATTACAAAGCTTAATTGTTATGAGTAAACACAACCTCAATTTTCTTCATGATTTTAAATAAAAAGAAACATAAGTCATAATGATAAAGTACACTGTTCAAAGATTTTTAAAGGAGATAAAAAATTGTATATATAGGTGTAAATACTTGTAACTTAAGGTAATTGTCATATCCACATGAAATAACGCTATACAACCCAAGTCTGTTAGTATGCATCTTTTGATGCATCCATTCATGTTGTATATCACAATCAGCATCTGAAATACAATATGTTAGCATGCACCCCTGCCTTGATATATAATCAATGCAAGTTTGCTGTCTAAAGGGCTTTGAATTAACTGAAATGATTTTACTCCAAAACCTTCAATTCGATCCCTCATCTAGATATATGTCAACAAAGACTTGTGATATGTTTATAAGTGTGTATCCCAGTCTCTTAAGTTGTATTTTAAGATGTATTATCTCTGCTAGTTTAGCCAGGATAAGGCTTTTCATTACTTCTGTTAAATCGTATTTTTAGATGTATCATCTCTGCTAGTTTAGCCAGGATAAGGCTGATAATTACTTCAAAATGAGACTTGAAACTTTATCCTGCTCCATAAACATAACTTGGTCATTCTTTGGCTGGAAATACAGCATCTGAAACCTGGGACTGGTACAATGATACATAGTCAAAGTATAGTCAATGCTCTTCTAATTAATATAGGGCACAGAAGTACTTTAAAAGAAAATTGTTCCAAAATTTTAACCTTGGATGCTGATGCAGTGGGTATTACATAAGCCCCCCAATTCTTAGCTTAGAACATATAAATTAAATATACATAAACATAAAACTTGTCTCATGACATAAAATTGAAGTATATTTATAGAATGCCTACCTCTTTCCCAATAGGAAGTGTACTCCAAATCATAAAAGTATAGATGAAAAAGTTCAACTAACTTTTTCACAAATTTGTCCTAAAAATGTAAGAAATTCTTTTAACACCACACCTCTTAAAATAGTCTTCATCTCTGGGATACCAGACCCTGCAATTATTATGATATATCTCAGTAATTTAATACTTTTTTAAAATTTCAATTCATAGTACAGTTGAACTTGGATATCTCTAACAGGGATATCCTGAACACTATGTATATGCCCCCCCCCTTTTTTTGTATTTTAACCTCAATATCTCCAGTCTTCAGAATTTGTTTTCTTCTTCTCCATCCCATTTAATTTTAAAATTAAAAAGCTTAATTTTTTTTCAGCCCCCCCCCCCCCCCCCCCGAAAAACACAACCTCAATTTTCTTCATGATTTTAAATAAAAACATTACATTAGTCATAATGATAAATTACACTGATCAAAGATAAAAAAGTGTGGTTTATAAAAGTTTGAAAAATTTGGAAGTCTCTTGTATTTGTAACTTAATTAGGCCTCTGAAAAATGTAACATTCTAGAATATACAGATTATAAAAAACTAAGGACTTTATTATGCAGTACTAACCACAAGCCTGAGGTGAGACAAGATGAGAAAATCCTGTGGCAAATAATATAAACAGCAGTGTGTAGGACACCCAGGCAAAATACTGAAGTGGTGGGGAGAAAGCCAGCTCCTGATATAACCAGAACTTAGCTGTAAAATAAGACAATCTTATGATCAGAACTTAGTTGTAAAATAAGACAATCTTAGGATCAGAACTTAGCTGTAAAATAAGACAATCTTAGGATCATTGTAATATTTTTAAAGTACATGTGCACAAAACAATACTTATGGTACAAAAAAGATTTATATTTGAACTCTTTATACAGTAAAACATCTTTTTAAAAATGATTTCACTGACCTGCTTGGCACTTTTCAATGAAAAATAATGAATATTACTTCATTTGGAATATAATGATGTTCAAAATCAAAATTATGTATCCAACAGTCTATTTAAAATTATTGTAATATCTTTAAGATACATGTAAACAAAACCATACAAACATTCAAAATGGATTTATAATTTATCCCTTTCTATAGTAAAATGTCTTTTAAAAATGCTTTCACTGACCTGCTTGGCACTTTTCAATGATAAAATCCATAGTAAAACTAAGCAGGGCCATAAGAATTCCCAGCAGAGCCAAGAAGATCCAATCTTCTCCAATTTTTTGGAAGACAACATCTCGAAAATGGATTAATCTCTCTGGTTAAAATGAGAAAATACTCAATGAATATACATGTACTTTAAAAATTTCTACTAACACACAGAAGATGCTTTTGAGATTTTGATGTGTACAACTTTTGTCCTTCAAAATTATAAGCTCAGTAAATTATATTAATTTCAAGAAATCCATAGTGTCTTTTTGCATTTAATATAAATGTTCAAACTCTAATACTATTGTTTGAGAATGAGTTAAATTATAAGCCATTGACTAAAATGAAAGACCAAAACAAAACAAAAATCAAACAGATACAACGACACAACAAACAAGTTCAAAGAAACTATAGAAATACATTCTAACAGTTATGAAAGTGACAAATTAAAAATAAAAAATGCATGTAATTACAGCATAAAGTACACAGTATAAGGAAACATCATGTGAATTTATCAATACAAGTACATATAAACTACATGTAATGTTAGACATTTTTATATCTCCTTGATGGATGTCAAGTACAGAGTATATGATTCACGGGACGGGGTGCCAGTAGTTTGTTTGTATTTTATAAAGAAATCAATTCTTTTCTTGAACTTTTCCGAGCCTTTAAAAGTGGCTTGTTCAGATTTGAAGATAAAAATTAATGTCACAATACACCCCCTCCCCATTTATCTTTCCACTCTCTTTTTAATTAGAATGAAATAGTATTGCGATATTTCGTGCTAATAAAATTTGAAAATAAAAAATCAAAACTAAACAAAGTAAAAAAAAAAAATCAAGCATGCACATTCAGTGTCATTAAATTTAATTAAAAGACTTGCAAAATGAAAAGTTTGTGCACTATAAGCAAGAATAAAACGTTTTCTGAAGCAAAGATATTAATAATTAAAATAAAAGCAAAACTAGCAAAGAGACAGAACCAAAGAATAAATTTTCATAACTAATAATGAACAGAATGAATTCTTACTGAACTTAGATGATTCTTTTAGAGCTTTATATTTGAACCCTGTAAAAAGATGTCTGTTCTAATACATGTCTTAACAATGTTTTAAAATTTTAAAACTTCTCTAAAATTTATTGCAAAATTTGCTGTTCCAATGTGTAAATTTACAATTTTCATATCAAAAGAAAAAAATATTTTTAATCTTCTGATGATAAAAATAAGGAAAATGACTTGACTGTGATACAAATCTGACTTGCTAAATTATGACTGCATATTCAAATATTTGATATTATCAATAGCAGAGGATAAGCTGGAAAGATAGGACATTAATAGTCACACAAGTTACCTCTCTGTCGCAGTCTCTCTGTATTAAAAACCATTTAAATGACATAGACATGTAATAAATATTTTCCCTATTAATACATCATGCTTCTTTAAATTAATTAGAATATAACCTTAATATTACAGTGTTATATAAATGAACTCTATGTACACTTAGGATTCTATCACAATTATCCATTTACATCTCATTACTCCTGATATAGCACAAAGAGAGAGTTGCTTTTTCTTCTCTCAGGATACACCTAATACCATACCTTTAGTACATCAGAAACATCACATTGTGTATACATGTAGTGCTGGACTTTCACTTGATATAGAACCCTAACCAAGACATATATAGCCTAACACTGAGAGGAGGGGAACACCTACCTAAGAAGACCCGGAATCCACTGGTGGGTTTAACCTCCGTGTTCCCAATGTCCCGCTTCTCCTTCTTGATCGTCCTCGCCTGGAACTTGGCCCATTTTCCAAGATCTCGCTTGTACTTTCCATAGATCTGTAGAGCAAGGTATAAAGAATTTGAAAATACATTGTAGATCGAGTCAGCAATGCACAACACATTGAATATACATCCAGTCTCAAGATTTACATTCAATGAACAAGCAAAATATAGAGATTTTTTTAAAATAATCATTCTGTATACATGTACATCATGCTTTTGTTGATACATCTATAACCAAAAACCTATTTGAACAACTTTTCATCACTCAGTCAAGGCAAGGACTGCTACATTCATTCTGTGAGAAGGGCCTTATGGATGATATTTTAAAGTAACAGAATCATAAATTGGTCATTCTTGACCCAAAATGACCACCAGAAACTGACAAAACATCTTATTTATTGACAAACATCACATATGTTATATTGATTTCCAGACATATAAGAGACATTAATTGTTTTTGGATGGTTTTTTTGTCTTCCAGATCATGATACTTGCTTAGTCAGAGACACCTTACTATCTATCTATCGATAGATCAATGGTTAGTGGAAGATCTTTATTGAAATAACTTCAGTTCTGTAACAAAATGTTTGAGAAATCATTCTTTGATAAATAAATCAATGGATTTAACTATAAAAAATAAATGCAACTATAACCAGATGTTCTTTCTAGTGAGTATTAATGCAGAGCTTAATGGATGTACTGGCCTAAGGATCATGAAACAAACTAAGCAAATTTCTAATCTATTATGAAATCTATTTCTTAATTTGCACTTATCAACACCTCAATGGAACAATATTGAGAAATATTTTAATTTTCGTATTTTTGACATCTACAACATTTCATTATAAAATAAAGATTTTGACTTTATCTTATTAAGATGTTTCATGATCCCGGGGCCTGGTACTTTAATTGATACTCTAATCTTTAACATGTTTAAGTCAAATCAAAACTAAAGATTTCAATTTATAGCAATTTAAAGCACTAAGTTTATTTTGTCTTAACTCTTGCATTTTTCTTCAACTTAGCAATAAAGACTTGATTTACATTTAGAGAAATTCTAAAACATAAATTTACACATGTTTGGACAACAAAAAGATATTTCATTAGGCATATACACATATTAGACAGGGTATACTACCAGATCGTATGTATGTATACATCTGTTTTAGAACAGGTTTATCTCTAATATACCGGGTATAACTCTTTTCTACCTTTGTTGTTATACTTTCAATAGTATTAACTATACAAGATTATTTCTATGGTTATCACTCTACTTATATTCACATATCAGATATAAATAAAAAACCAGAAGTCTCTGTCAAGACTGAAGCTCTACTGGTTTGTACTTATAGCAAAGGAAGAGAAAAGTACTTAAGCAGTTGGGAATTGGAACTTTACAACAGCAATAAACAGAATAATGATCCTTGATTAAGTCTCTTTATGTTCTTAGTGTAGTCTACTTTTGTGCCAAGTTATATTGAAATCAGACCAAAACTCTAGGAGGAATAGCATTTTGAAAGAATTTCACAGAAATTTCTATTTTTAGTAACGGCAACACCACTCATCGAAATCAAAAACCGATAAAAAAATTATGTATCTTAGTATGGTCTACTTGTGTGCCAAGTTATATTGAAATCAGACCAAAACTGTAGGAGGAGTAGCATTTAGAAAAATTGTTTACAGACAGACAGACTGACAAACACCGGATGCATTACTATGGCATAAGCTCTTCTGGTCTCTGACTAGTAGAGCTAAAAATTATGTAAAACCTTCGTTTTTTATTTATTTTTTTTTTTTTGTACATTATGTCAAGCCTCAATCAGTTGTGGAAAAAAGATCATGTTCCTTTTGTAATGAGGATGCCTCCTTTGTTGTTTGAAATACAACCTTTACTTCCAACATGTGCCAATTAAGTGTTGCTTTATTTCTGAGTACATGTACATAAATAATTTATGTTATTAAGTTGTTATTTAAAACAGGAAACAACACTTTTCCTGAAACTTAATTTTTGAATGTGGAAATAAACATGCATATACATTTATTTTGCAATAAACAAAATAAATATAAGGCTGATATTTTTTTTACTCTCCCAATTTTCTTCAAAGAAGAAAAAAAAATGAAATGGCTCTTTAATTTTTTTTCTTTTAAAAAAGACTCAATTCTGCTTTGTGGTTTTTAAATACTGAATATAGTGGAAGGTCAATCATTTTCATGGTTGCCTCATTCCTTTATTTTTAAATTTTGAAAAAAAAACAACATTGTGTAGAAAAAGGAAATTTCCTTCATCAAACTTCCTTAAAAGCTTCCAGTTTGCAATAATAATGACTTTATGTTAAACAGGGCAGTGAAACTTTCTGCAGGAAATTCTTTGCTCAATTTCTGACCCAGATAACTCAGTTACATATTTAGCAGTTTATGGAAATGAAACAACTAAACAAAGAATCTTTAGTAGTATTTCAGTTTTGGATGCAATAAATTTCCCCTAAATCCTTTTGAAATAGGCCTTTATCATTTTAAAGACAGCATGAAGATAAACAAACAACCAGATTGTTTTAAATCAGATAGGAGATCAAAAATAGTTTTAAAAATGTTGTTACGATATGCAGCAATGTATATAGAGCAAAGGGCACAAAAACAGGTCAATATCCTACAATGTCTTACCTGATAACTCACTAAATTGACAAAATATTAAGTTACATACAACAGAGACTTTAAGAAATCAGGGGTCCAAGATAAATAAAAGCATGCACCCTTGTACATGTTTTGAAGCAGCAATAAGTTTGTTGAAAAATATTTTGTGACATGAAATCCAAAATGTTTTACATGTATATATGCTACAAAACAAATTTACCCGTAAATATTTTGACTGGACATGCACTTTAAATAGAAACATTAAATTCCCAAGGCTCCAAATCAAAATAATACAATTGTATTCATTTTGTACTGGAAAAAATGTATTCATATCCCAAAGAATGAAAAATACACCTTTTTCTAAACTTCTTTAAAAAGGCTATGATATAAAATTTCATTACCAAGGGTAAAGAACTATTATAGATATCTAAAAACAGGTGCTACACAAATACAGAATGACTGAGTGACATTCAGATGGTTGGGTGGATCAAAATTAAAATCGTCCACTATTAGCAAAAGCACAGGCCAAAAGACTTTCACTTAAAACATGTTAAAAATGCAAATAAATCTTCTTACTGTCATAGCACATTTACAGAGCATCAACACACTAGTTATGCAAATCTCATTCTTGTCCTAATGGTTGTATGCACATTTCCTACTTGTAGGTATTCACAAAAAGTTAGTACTGAAGCTATAACACTTGTTATTAGAATGCATTTCGATAATGGAAAACAGCCATTTTCTCAATGCTTGTAATAGCATCATTAACACAGTTTTTAATGATGAAATTTAGTTCAATTTATCATAACTAATTCTGTTCCAATAAATCAGGTTTCTTAATATGATAACCATATTGGTAGTGTAAGCCTAATTCCTAATCCCATTATGAGAACTTCCAATTGATTCCTAATCCTAGCTTGCTGCTGTGTTTCATAAAACAGACTGTAATCTTTTATAATCAAAAGCAACTGTCCTGTAACAGGATTTATAATACATATAGTGCCAATTCTTTTTTTATATTGCCTGTGTTTTCCCTTTATTTCAAAGTAAAGGGTTAGAGATAAGTTGTAACAGGCTAGGAGCTGAGGTTTATGAACAAAATCTCTGTGGACCTAACAACAAATTTTTATTTCAAAGCGGCATTTTTGTCAATTGAAGCGGTCAATTTGGCCGGTAGCCGGTTCTTAGGGAAAACACTGTATTGCATATTATGCAAATATTTCCATCATATAGGGTTGTCTTTAATTCTTGTAAGAAAGTATATGCAGTAGCTGTGCACATATATGCACATACATGTATTATAATTTCCCAAAATAGATAATGGTGATCACAAGAGGGCTTAAACCAGTACATGTCTAAATTTAAATTCCAATACAAGTTTACAAACTGAGCTTAATATTTAGATCCTAAGCTAGTGTAAGTAATATGACTTAATCATATACAACACAAAAAACTTATAAATATTTTGAATGTCTCTCCATTTTGTTTCGACTTAGTCAAGATACTTAGTGAAGGAGATGGAGAGGGGTTCCTTTTTTTTCTAATTAAATGTTTTACTTTTAGTTAAGTATGAAAATGCACATTTACTTTGCCTCTTTATTTATTTTATTTTTTTTTGTATGTACTAAGTGCAAACCTTGCTGTTAATGACTGTTTGGTTGTGACACATGAACATGTGCTAATGTGCTAGGTACAGGGATATGGTAAATCACCGATGTCCAACAGTCTTTAAATTTTGAGAAATTATGAATAAGGTACCCTAAATGATTTCAGGGACTAAAACATGTCTTGGTTAATTTTTCACATTCATAGGAATGGGCAAGACTGTTCTAGCCGATTCTAATTTGATTGCCAAACATTGTAATGTAACAACACAAAGAGTACACAGGTACATAAAAATGAATTTATCATGAACCATATTCATCTGAGATTAATTATGAAGAAGAAATCAGACAGTCACTGTGCCTTTAATTTGGATTTTGGAAAGAGTCATCTAATGTTAAATAAACTATCTGTGATAGAGACTTATTATTATATTTGGCATATTTAAGTTCAATCTTATAGAAATCCATATCTAAAATAGGTATATTTAAAAGAAGCTCGAATCTCATTGTTTTTTGGAGTATTTAATATATAAGTTTATTCCAGGATGTCAACTGTGAGGGACCTACACAAAAACAATAGTACCGGTATATATAGGCACCTTGTACACATCATTACGCAGGGATTATTCCTCAGCATATTTACTACCAGGGTACTAATGTTCAGTATTTTTCCCCAAGAGAAAATTTCCCCTGAATATCCCGTTTTTCCCATTTGATGAGTAAAAAACTTCCCTAATTAACTTTTTTCCTTCATAAAAACTGGAAATTTTAAAGTAAAAAATTTCATCAGATGTGAAATATGGGTTTTCTTTTGCCATTTTATGTACTCTACATAAGTCCTAAAAATGCCCAGACTAAATTGAGTCACCCAGCACTGGGCTCACCTTGCACCCGTTGGAGTTGATAGAATGTTCTATTGTTAAAATGATATATGTCCTAAGGACCTGTTTTAACAATAGAATTCGTTCCATGTATTCACAATGTTGCAGAATAAACATATATGCCATAATAGGAGTGAAACGGTTCACTGCAGTATTTTTTTCTCGGTTCAATTCACGGTACAAAATCTCTATTTTCGGTTCGGTTCATTTTTCGGTCGAGATCGTCATTCAGTCAGGTTTGGCATAAAATATAAACATGCTCCTCCGTATAATAAGTTGAAAAACGTAAATTTTTGTGGACTTAGAGTTTGTAAAATAATTTTTAACAGTCAAATCAATTAAATTGATTTCTTCTATCCATTTTGCACATAAATTATTTGACTAGATCATGTAGATTAAGTAAAAGGAAGCATAAAACAACAGTTAAATTTGTTTCCTTCTATCAAAATGTATCGTATCGAAAATAACCGAACCGAGACCAAATTTTATTATACGTATCGAACCGTGAAGGAGGCGTTTCGTTTCACCCCTATGCGATAACTCGAACTCTTGAAACTAAAAAAAATGTGCTCGTTAGGACAGTTGATATGGACAGAAAGTGAAAACACATATGAAAACCTCTGATTTTTCTACTATTTAAAACAACTACAAATATAAATTTGAAAAAAAAAGTGTTCTTATTCTGTATTCGAATGAAAAACGCCAAGGTTACTTTTGCTTTCTGTCCATATCAACTGTCCTTATATAACTAGTGCGTTTGGATTACTTTTAGTCTGAAATGTGTATTGTAGGAGGTTTCAAGGGAAAAATTCAAGCATACAGAGTTCGTGAAATCTTTTTTATGCTGTCAGTCATTTGGACTGACTGCCATGTGAAGTTTGTCAGTCCAGACAGATTTCTATCAGTCCAAAAAAAAAAATTCAATAAAAAGATGAAAACTGTATTTGAATTTTATTATCAATACATTGTGCACCCAGCGTCAATAAACACTGCACACTTCATGCCAATTTGATCGTCATATTACAAATTTCTTTGAATTCTCGTGGGGATCCATTTTCTCCATAAGTTTTAATCTAGTTCAATTTTTCACCTCAACAACTAGTTTACCAATCATAGTTTGGCACTTGCATTGATCGAAGAAGCCATTACAAGATGCAGAAAAGCGTTTGAAAGGTTACAATCTGTCGTTTATAAGGAATTCGTACGAAATTTGGTCGGATTGTTGAAAGTTCTTCTTTCAACAATTATCTGTCATTTGGACTGACACTGAACACAAAGTAATTGGTCCTTGGTTGTTTTTATCAGTTTTGCCGACAGGACCAAAAGATTTCAAGAACTCAGAGCATAAGGTCTTTGAAGAATCATTACTTGACTGATCCAAGATGGTGAATCAGTCAAATACGGAGAAATATAACGTAAACAGAGGTTGAAGCGAGGAAGGGGTTCAAAATGGCGTCCTCCTTTGTGTTGTTTCATTATTGCCCTATATGATTTTTTTAATAAATACAATTTTTACACGCCGGGAGCAAACCCCTGTGTTCTATAAACTACCATTGAAGGTCTAGTGTGGCCCAAAGACCCCAGACTGATTTTTCAAATTTCTTCAAAAAGGGTAGTATCCCCCTAACCCTAGATCAATCCCTGACATCTTCTTCCTGACTGCTGAACGCGGTGAGCTTATCGGTCCCAACGTTACATTATTGGAAATATCCCAACAATTGAATATCTAAACTCGCAGCGCTTTTTGATTAAAATGTAAAACACCAAACATTCTTATCAAGTTTCTGTGCTAATCTCAACCATTTCTATGCTTCTAGCTTACCAAAGTTTGCTCGTAGTCAAATTTCTTGGATCTCTCTTCTTCTTTCTCCGCCATCTTTACACGCCATCTGTTGACAGGAATATCCTCTTTTACGATTGGTTCATTATTTGCATCACATTTTTACCTCCTGGAACAAGAGAACATATATGGAAACACAGACATATCTTTAATATTGGAAAAAAAAAGTGTAAAACGGTTAACCATCTAGGTCTGTATTCTAGCGTGAAGAATTTGATTTTTGCTGTGTTAATTTGCCAATACACAAAAATAGAGTGATATTGAATTTCATTTCCATACTTTGTGGATCACATTTGACAACAATGAAATATTTGGATCCATAATATCAGAGACTTATAGGCGTATATTAGTATATGGGTCTCTGGTAATATGTGATTTATCTGCATTCTAAATCTAAGAATAATGGAAAGCTGTTTTTTTTTCAGGTGCAAAAATATTGTATTTACTCAATATTGTAAAATTTTAAAGCGGTTTTGCTGCAACCCCTTGAATTCCTGTCTAAAATATGATGTATCTTTGCCATTCTTTTGTTTTTCTGATCTAAACAACTACTTCTATAGGCCTAGAGGTTTCTTTTTATCATCATAGTTTTCCACCTCTATCGTGGACACGAATGAGGTAATAAACAAGAATATCAGCTGAAAACCCGTATGGTAGTAAATGTAAAGAATATCTATTAACATATTTTTCAGTCAACTTGCAGATTTCAATTTCGAACGCATTTCCCACTTCTTTAAATAACTGTTATCAAATATGATATACGCAGTAATTTAAACCAGATACGATTGATTTTAAAGAAATTCTTCATTTCACCCCTTTACGCCTTTAACCCCCTCTTCCTCAATTGTCCACCAGTGTAACCAAAAAATAGCTCATATTTGACATGAATTTTTCATTGGTATTCTTGCAAAGTTTGTGTGTGTGTGTTGGGGGGGGGGGACTGCATGCTATGCTATAGTTTTTTTCTTCTGAAAATGAATATCAGCTTTCAAAATACATGTATGACTCGATACTTTTCTCTCAGTATATTTCAGAGGACGCGTTCCGTTTCCTCAAAAATAACGCTGGTGTGAAAACTTAGCGCAAGGTTATACCTCATGGACTTTCAAAACTGATACTCATTACAGATATAACTTTTTTCAGACGTAAGTGGTAATGTTCAAGTACACATAAAATGACAAACTGTCTATAAGGTTTATTTGCGTTATTTATGTGCTAGTATAGGGCCATCTGATGTTAATACTGTACATGTAGATGTTTTCAACAGGATACAGGATTATTGCAGTTTTTCAAGATTTCACTTTTGTCCTTTTCAAACTCTGATTTAAAAAATAAAATAAAACGTTGATGACTGCCACATTTTGATTTGTTTTTGTTAAAATTGTTTTCACTACCACTCTAAAATCAAAATGAAATTCATTTTTCGTGTTAATACGAATAGTGTGTAACAGACTAACGTTTGATTAAAATGTAGAAAAGTACTCAGTAAAAGATATTATCATGATTCCATTCACCATTTATCAACGCTCTTCATTTTCATTTAATTTCAAATGCACAGCTAGACGAAATATTCATCAATCCGTGCGGTTAAATTCTAAAATAGTTTTAGTTCGTGTCTTCATAATTTATTCATCACTCTTGTATGATCACGTAACCTTCACCCATTGAAAAGCACCGATAATAGAAACAGAATGAAAGTTCCCTGTATATTTACAACGGGGAAGAAGGTTGCCATAATTCCATGTAACTCTTTAAGTATAATGTTTCCTTTTCTCGCTTTTTTGAGTGAATTAATATGTTACCTATATACAGAATGATAAACTTTTGGAGACAGAGATAGTTTTAATTAAAATCAGTGAATCAAGTCTATGACCAAAATTTACCAATGACATGGAAGTGTTCAAATCTCATTCATTTCCTTCTATACAACTTGCTTTAGGGTTACACGTGTTTTCTCAATTAATACAAATTAGGTATCTCCGGAAACATCTTATATAAAAAATAAAGAAAATATTGGAGAATATAAAAACTGCTAATTAATTAAAGAGGATCGTTTACTCATATTCACTAAAAGAATTTTAGCCCCCTTCCCCCTCCCAATATACCAAAAATACCAAAATAAAATTACAAGTCGTGTGTCACTGTAAACCCGGAAATTTGAGAAATTATATTCATTAAAACTGGTTACACTGTAAATCGAGAGAATATTAAAGGGGGTACTGCGTTTTTCACTGCATTTCGAGTTCAAAAATGCCTTACCTCTTACAAAGTGTTCTAAATCCCTAGAAATATAAGGTTTTCTAACGGAGGGCGTCAATATTCCCGGTGTCGTCTGCCGCGGTAAATCACTCAACGTGTCAGTTGACCCATCAGCGCGCGCAGACAAGTGTGTACTGTATTTCTGGGGGAAATTTTGGTTCAAATATTCTATTTTAATTTACAGAATCTAACAAAAAGCATCAAGCAAGATTTACTTTTTTCCTTCTTAGGTAATCTTGCTACGGGTGAATTTAATATACAACAGAATCCACATAACGTACAAAATTGGTCATATGCTAAAAGGAACTTTATTCAAATCCCTGTCGTTCCATGAACTTCAAAATCATGGAAATCGTAAATGTTTAGTGTGCTAAAAACGAGATAAAAAGGTGAACTAGGTTATGTAATGAAATCAAATCAAATACATACATCTTTAGTTACACTGAAAACAGCACATCTCGTATCATTTTGACAGCCTATTTATGTACATCTTTCACATGTCCTTTCACATGACCTCAACAGCTCTAATTTTTCCTCTTTATGTCCATATGTGACAAATAAAGACAGTTCATCTTATGCACCAAAGATCATGAAAGAAAAAGAGATTAATTACACTAGCAATTAAAACTTAAACCATTGGTATCTGGAAATATTACCAAGGCACATCTACAAGGTAATCAGATACAAGAAAGAAAAGAATACACTATCAAGTAAATAGATATATTTCTTGCTTTATTTTATATCATTGTAATGTAAAACAAAATTATAAAACATTTTCCACTCATTATTTGTATCATATAATGGTTATCAAAAGTAAGCTCATAGACTTTGCAAGGTATGTACAATCAACGATTCATAGAAAACTTTTCTCTCTCTTAAATTCTCACTAAAGCCAAAGAAACATTTGAATCACACAAAGTATCACATAGATTTGGATTTTACATAAGAAGTCTCAAAATACTTTCTCTTCATATATGGCGATCATATGCAGCTTTAAGTAGTCATCTTTGTGTTTCATTCATATTTTTTTTTTCAAATACAGTAAAACAAAGAAAACACAGGAAATATTGGTACACACATACACTATACAATCAGAATATTGGCTAAGAACACAAGCACTGATTTTTGTTGTTTCAAGTGCAATAGGAATAGTTACGTTCATGCTACAGTTTATAGACATCTTCCCTACTGTAATTTTGACAAGAAGGAGAGCTCTAATGGCATGTATCTAGTTTGTTACTGTCTGAACCAGTGACAGCAAGCGAGAAGAAATTGCCTGCTAAGGTGACTGTATTTAATCTGTTAACACATCCTAAGGCACAATATCAACCATTGCACACTCCAAGTCCGAACACTTTCTAACATTAATTCGTTTTCACACCTACTTCAAAGCAAATGCTTTTTTGAACAGTTATTACTTCCATAAAACAATGAATTATTCTAGATAATGAATTATCTTAACAGATTTAAACAAGATGATGAAAAATGCAGTTGGTTTACTTTTTTGAAAGGCAGTGTTGTCAAAATATGCTGAGATATTCCATCTGAAGGATTCCAATATTGGTTGTAAAGTAATTTAAACAGCTTTTAAATATATAAATCAACACTACTCACTACAAATTATAAATGTACATGTACAGGTTAATTTGGTTATGACAACATTGTTTAGGCAAAACAGAATATGGTTTCTATTTCATAAATAAATGAAATCTTATAATGGATACATTGTTGTACTCAGAATGCTTCCTATACACTGTCACACTCATTAAATATACTTCACAGCAAAGGACACATGTACACACAATACATATCAGTTAAATATAGAATATTGCTCAACAACATGGTTTTCTTTTCCTTTAAAAAAAAAAAATAGTCAACAGAAAATGAAACAGGACGGAGAGTTTCTTGACTTGCTTGATGTGATGCACAAAAATGAGATGATAAATGATGAGTAGAAAACATTTCTGTCGCTTTGAGAACGCTTCAGATATACTTTCATTAAAACCATAAGTACCGTATTAAATTCTTCACAAATTATAAAAAAAAAATCAACAATGTCTAAAATGTTTCTTGAAGTAAAATAAATTGTGGCAATCCAATGGTTATAAAATTATAATGATCAACCCATAAAAAATACAATTTAATGCATTTCAAATTAAATGGAATGAAAATGGAATACTTTAATTGCACCATCATAATTTCATTTGTGATATAAAAACGAAGGACAACATGAACATGATCAATGTAATTGCATCACTGAACACAGAAGTAGTTTGTTCACAATGAACTTTGAACACCATTAACGTTTTGTCATTGTATATCTCTTTTTAAATTAACATCAAAAACAAAACAAAAAACCAATTAACGCTAGCAAAACAAAAAAAGCAAATAAGACCATACGTAAGTCTATACTCTTGTTCAAATGCTAACTCTACGAAACTCAAAAAATATACATAACAATCATTAACAAATAGACAAGAAAAAAAAAGCTGAAACAATTTTCTACAAAACTGCTCCTCGCGGGAAAAAAAGAGCACAAGGTTGTAAAAACTTGAAAACATTTCCTTGTTTGCATAAATAAGCATTGACATTTTGACCAACGTGTACGTAAACAAATTGTTCAATACGTTGGTACGATTCTGATCGTTGTGGGGGATCTTTGGTCCTTACAGCGTTTACTCGTCAGTTCTCGGCCTCTTGGTCTCTCGTGTCATCGAGATTGTGTGCTTAAAGGTGTACCGGGTGACCTCGTAATATCCCGGACAGTAGGTGGAGCTCTGTGATATGGAACCTTGGGAGTTCAGATTTATGGAGGAAGCTGTGCTATTATCCCTCTGTAAGGATTCTGGGTCCAGACAGTTTACGGAGTTCTTGTACTCCACCAATCCTTTCCATATCTTATTTCGGTGTGTTGTTCCAATCTTCATTTTTTGAAGATCCTAAAATAAAATAAGACAAATCAAACCTAGTCTTACTCATAAATTTAACAAAATAAGATATCCTGACCAAAAACATGTGATTTATCTGATGACAATTCCATTACAGTTCTCGTGAATTGCAACAATGTAGCTTTTCATACTACAGAGGAACTTGTTTAAAAATGGCCTTAATTCTTTACCTCTAGAGTGTGATCTTCTAACTGGCTCATTGTTACCAGGTTCTGTTGGTGGAAATTGTCTATGTACGCTGACAGGCCCAAGCTGGTCAACCAACTGTAAAAAAGAAATGAATTCAATGAAAATTATTTTATAATCAATTCTCTAAGTAGACAAAAACCCCTTTTTACTTCATATTTTTACTGGGTACCATACATTTCTGGATAGTTATCTGTATTTCTTGGAAAACAATTATTACTTACTACACTTTTTTAAATACATTGTACAGTGAAAAAATCACAATTTTAGGCTTATAGTCTTACGTTGCAATGCTATTGTCAGTGCCATTCAGCAGTTCCTCCTTTATTTGAGCGTCTCCGTTCTCTATCGGGATCACCTGGACAGCACCGTTCTGTGAGGAAGACACTTGAATCTGATTGGCTACCTCGGGTGTAAATGGGAGTGTGGCCTGTCTACTAGTTGACTCTGTTTGCACAACCACCTCCGATTCTCGACTTGCTGCTATCAAACTGGGCCTAAAAAATGGACACTTCAAAATTTAATCCATCTTAAAGAATCTACATACTTTTTCATTTTTTTTGTACATGTAATAATTGTTTTTGTGATGATTGTGTTCTTGGTCTATGTTTATGTTCAAGCAAATAAATCTCTTCTACTTTCTACGTTGAATTTACTTTGAACTGGACCAATTCAAACTTATGTTTCTTATTCTTTTATTCTGTAAAACCATTTCTTACTTAAAAAAAATTATACTCAATTCTTTTTTTTTTTATTTTTGAGAAACAAATTTGCACTTCATTGAATTTCTTACTGGAACATATATGAGAGAATACTTTTTGCTTTGTACGAACATTTTTTTTCAAGTTGGCCACATGACAACAGGTTGGGTATGACATACTTGAACCTAGACCAGTGCTGTTAGAAATCTTTTTTTGATATACTGTATACTAGTAAGTGAAAATTTTAGGGAGATGCAGGTTTAGCGATTTTTCCTTAAAAATGGGTATTTCATTTTTAGTGAGAAGCAACTTTACCAATTCAAAATACTCACTTAAGAAGCTATTACAAACAGAACACAATTAAATTTGAGCGATTTTCAATTTTAGCAATTTAAGCACCTTAGCTAAAAATGCCAAAATTAAATCCATTGCTAAAAATTTTGCTTATACGGTATGTATATTGAAATGTGCTTTGAGAGTTTTTCCAAGTCTATCTTGTATCACAGGTACATGGGGACAGTCCCCCCTTCAAACCTGGGGTTTGTTGGACATATTTTCCTCTTAAATCATAACTATTACTTATCTATCATGCACACCACAGGAAAAATTGTGAAAACACAAAAGTACCCCACTTTACACTATAACGGTGAAGATATGCTGCTCCGATTTGTTTAAGTTGCATCCTTGCTGGTCTTTTTAAATTATCTAACATTTATTTCTTTTTAACCTTAAATGTCAGTTTAACTCGTCTCCACATAAATTTCTGTCTTAGTTCATGCGATCAGATTAACTCTGCATGTCGTAAGAATTCAACAATTAATCCTTAAACATGATTGCAGTTAGTGCTTTGGAAAATCCTTAGATAAATGGCTAATACAACGGAAGTGTTTATAGAAAGTTTTACCACTTTAAGATAACATATGTGAGAAAAATACTCTTGCAGTACATCTGATAAAAAATCTCATACGTTATCGTAATAGGTATTACATTCTTGGTGTACTTCTGCTGCAGTTACCAATGGAAATTACAATACACTGACTGATATCATGTTTGAGATTAATTGTAGGATTATTGAGTAATCAAAACCAATTTAAGTGCATAACCAAAGACAGAAATATATAAAGACAATTTAAACAGACAATTCAAATTAAACCATAATGATTCTTGATGCAGCTAAAATTGAGCAGTTCGAATTTCAGATATTCTCAAAGCCAAAAAGAGGCAACAAGTGAACCTTGCTCTTTTGAAATGGAAGAGTAAAACTTTTTCACTGCAATTTGAAGACATTCCTGTCCTTTTTCCATCTCGAGCACTTCTTTCTTGACGATTATTCTACATACAAATACTTGTTAACTTTGATTGGCCATACAAAGTTTTAGCTCATCTCTAAAATAACTGTTTTGTTTGCATGTAGTTTTTATTGTCTCTAGAATAACTCTGTGTGGTCAAGTTTCTTTTGTAATAACAAAGAAGTCATGGGATAGAACTGTTGCAAGATAATTTATCTCTTGACCCTCCAATAAAAACAAATATCACTTTTGTTCTGGTTTATTTCATATACAAAATATACAATATTCCATACAATCACCATTTATTCCTAATTTTACTGGCAGTTGTAAAAATGCATGATTCTAGCATGATAAATCCCTGCTTTATTTTTCAGAAAGGAAATATAATGGTTTTATATATATTCTATTCTAAATAGTCCAAATTCAATATAAATTATTTACAAAATTAATATCAAAGATAATAATATTCAGCACTATTAAGGAGGACGGATGTAGTTACTACAACTAACAAATTCATCTTCAACAACAAATAAATAAAAAAAAAAATATCTTGAATACAATTAATTCCCAGATCCATTTTACAGATAAGCTAAAGAAATCAGCTAACAAAACATGTCATATACAGCATAATAAACATTCAGATAAATAAGTAAATAGCAATTTCTTAATTGCATAAATATGAACACATAATATATGGAGGAAGAGCCCTCCGGCAAAATCAGTTTTTATTTAATCATGATGAAAATGACATGCATGAAAAGTCTGTGGAGGATCAAGAATACTATGTTATGCTTCAGAGGGTTGGGGCGCAATGAAGTCATCCCAGCAGCATTTGGAAAGTCTCCGACACAGGGACAACTGGTAGCATCTGTAGTACATGCTTGCATCCTGTCATTAAGATGACTCGGTTCCAGAATTACACACTGGCTCAATCCCAGGCCTCTGTCTCACTAACAGGGTCGTTTGAGAACTTTCCCTGGCTTGGATTTTCTTTTCATCAATTTATTTTTGCTCTCACGGGCCAGAACTACCGACAGCCACCTACAACAAGTCAGGCAAGATCAGGGCAAAAGTCTACACCGTCAACTAATTGTCTATCTTCTACGTTTCAACTTCAGAGAACATAAACTGGCTTGTGAAACTGAACTCCTGCTTTAGGTTGAGGTGGCTGCCATTGAATACTGAGGGAAAGTCTATTTCAGGTTCCAAACAATTCGCGATAAAGTCACTATTCTCATATTCTATTGCCGGTGCATGATTATCTTTCTGTATTGAAGGCCTGAAAAAATATCAATTCACAGCTTACCATAACGGGCAACAGTCAAGCAAAGTCCTGATCAAAACACAGTGTTGAACAGGTCTTTGGGGTCAGTAGGAAAGAAGTGCTCATGCAGTAACCTCGGTTAGTGGAATGTGAACTAGGAATGCTCCCTTTCAATTTAATGTTCTGGATACCAGAAAATTTCAAAAGAAAGGAGAGAAAGTGGACAAAATTTTCTACATTAAAAGGTTCACGAAGATTTTTGATATCCTTTGTGTACCTTTTCTCAATTCTATCCCTCTTGTTCATTTAGCGGCCAACCACACCTCTTTCACTCGTACAGCAAGTGGTTACCAATACCAATCCATATTCAAGTACCTCTATCATAAACTAAATATCTTACATATTTTCAGCTAAACATTGAATAGGGATTGGTAAAATTGGTTTTCAAGCCACATACTTCTTCAATAATTTCATTTCTCTGTTGTTTTAAGAATTGAAAAAAAAAGTTTAAAAATAAGAATGGGACTTGCAAACCAATCTAAATATGCTTAACAAATGCAGTCACTATCCAAAACTCTCCTTTCAAAACTTTTCTTTTCATAAACAAATTATAAGATGATCGACTTTACAAGTATTTAAATTTTTTTCTTTTAAAAAGCCAATATATGATTGTATATTTAAGAAGAGTGTTAGTTAATGAAAGCATTTTGCCAAGACTGATACAAAAAAGCTGATCAAGCCATCAAATCATGCCAACAACTGCTGGTGTGATGGCTTGTTGTTATAACCAGGCAACACTTACTGTCTGTTCACCTCCACCTGCTGTTGCTTGTAGCGGTCAATCTGATTCTGAGGAACCATGGACGCAAGTTCTAAGGAATCCCGCAGTTTACAAAGAATGTCGAAGTTTTCTTTACCACGCACCTGTTAACAGAGGATTAATTTTTTAAAACCCTAACTAAAACTCAACAAAGTGAAAGTGAATATGTGTGTTCTGATAGGCCGCTAACACTTACTGTTAGGGTGAAGGATTCTTCTCCTCCGTCATCCAACTTCCTCTTCTTTCCGGGCATAATGGTTGTAATTTCTGTACCATAGGAGATCTTGCTTCCAACTATAAATAAGATTATCATATATTTGTTGAAATATTCACATGGAAAATTTTTCAAATTATTTGTCATACGTAGGACAATAAAGGAATGACAAATACAATAATACTTACTCTTTTTGGGCGACTGCTTGGCAGGTGGGAGAGCTGCCTTTTCGTCTGCCTTACGGTCCCTTCCAGGACAAGCACATATCCTTACTTCTACTGCCCGTCTCCCAAGCACTTGGTTGCTATAATGAAAAAATTTCAGTGTAAAAATCTTTTATCATTTACAATATCAATGCAATTGAAGAATTGTGTAAATTTGTCTTTCATGCGATAACTATTATGCTATTTTTTCCTTTTTCCTTTTTTTTTTTTAAATAAACATATTTCATTTGATTTGTTATTTTGACTGTATACTAACATAATGATTTAGATAAACTAAATTGACTTTAATCTGATTTGTTAATTCTATGACGCTTACTCTTTTTCCAGGGTGAAGACAATTTGGATGGGTCTTCTGTTAGGTCCTCCCACACAGGAACCCAGACACATGAACTGGAACAGGTTGGTTACCCACTCGGACCCTGCCTGGGGCTGCTCATGGGGGATTATGACGCTTTGTCTGGATGTGTATGAATCTTCTGTATATTTTGCCAGTTTGTGTTCACATCTCACTAAATGTGTTGGGGCGGGATGATCTATAAATTGAAATAGAACATAGAATTTAAAGCTATTAATTTAACAACAACTAACAATATTTTATTCACTGATGTTAATGTGAATAGGATTGGTCAGCAGGCTCAGCCTATTTTAGCCCTCTCCCTAATTTAAAGCTATTATGTAATACTATTGTCTTAAATGTGACTTCTTTTACAACTTTTGTTTACAAGCTTTCAAATAAATTTATCGAAAGATTTTTTCTCCTGCTTATAGTAAAATACACATTTCTAATGTGCCTGTGAACAGTAGATCTTTCTAAGACATTACTGGTGATTTTTCCAATAACGGAGAGGATTACAACTGATAATGACTTCATCCATACAGTGCCCTGATAACAAATGTTACATAACCACTTTAATCCATCAGATCACTTTCTATCCTTTCTTCAAACAAATTATAACAGGCTCATTAATACCTTGAATACATAGCAGCAATTTATAATGTCTTGAAATAATGCTTACTTTCATTATTCTCTTTGGATGTCGCATGGTTTGGACATCGCTTCACAGGTTCCTGAACATGTTCTGGTTTCATGAAAATGGGCATGGCTCTGATGATACAGCCTGCAGGTGGTTGGCGCTGTGTTTTGAAACGTACCGGGCAAGTGGTAGCCATTCTGACATATAGTTTCTTTAATGATTCGGAGTACTGAAAGTACAAAATGTCTCTTTTTAACAAAGACATACATTTGAAAATTACTTTTTCAACTAAGAGATTACTTTATACTCATGGAAAAAAACATGATTTATAGGTACAAGTGGATCAAGAATTATAATTGTACATACTGTCCATGTTGTTGATTTCGTTTCTTTCGATGGTTGCGAAAATGAAATCTGAAATCCAGAATCCCCGGCATAGTCAGTGCTAAAAGAGATAAGAAAGATTTAAATTTGTAACCTGTATACACTTTAACAAAGGCTAACAATAGACTTCATTTCATATACTGAATTCATTCAAAAGTAGTAAATATATGTAATTTTAAAATGTTTTGAATGATTATGAAAGGCACAAATTCAATGTTGAAAGCAAATAAAATCAATATGATTCTAATGAGGATGGGAAAAATGGATTTTAAGTGTACTCTGAATAAAAGTATTGACCTTTTTACCAATAACCATATACTGTAAAGGCTGTTTTCAAAACTTTCAGTTCAATGTGAAAAGAATTTATTGATTTTTATTGATTATTATCTGTTGACAATGTACTAGACTTTAGGGTAAAAACTTTCTTGTGTGTTAGTTTTATCTTGTTCAGTATGTAAATGATTGAACTTGAAGAGAAAAATTGATTTTCCATTCATTTCTCTTCTCTTTTTTTATCATTAAATTTTAAAACTTGAGAAAATTGTTTTCTACAAAGCAATTCAGTTTTTTAACAACTCATTCCTCCGAGTGCCTTCAGTGGGAGCTTTAATGCGACACACTTTGTTGACCAAGCACAATGTTGACATTAGATATTTTGAAGTGGTTTCAAGTTTGTTCATGTCGCTAGGGGATTTAAAGACGGGCTTTTATGAATAACTATACCGTTACAATTCAACAGAGACCAAGCCAAATATCCAGTTAGTTAAAATTCCATTCCAGTGATTCTTTTCAAAGTTTCTTTAATCTTCTCTACATAAATTTAGAAAAAATAACACTATGACCCTACAATAAACTGTGATATCCCAATTTCTATTAAAAATTCTTTAATTTGTTTTGCCTGAAATCCCATCAAAACAAAGACCCATTTTCCCCCTGAAGTTCTAATTTACTGCAAATTGCTTTATGAATCAATAATTCATACAAAGGAAATAGAATACTTACTTGGATGGAACTGTGGGAATGGGTGAGGTCATACTTGTGTGGGGCGAGTACGGTGGGGGAGAGGTGATGGTCTGAAAATAAAATCAATAAATTAATAAATGAAATACAAAATCAATTTTATCTTGCAGAGATCAATAAAATTGTGCTTTGACTAAAATTTTACCTTGTTCTCATCATATAAGGGATAATACTCATCCAATTCTTCTGAATGAAAACTCAAATCCAACAATTTCATTCTCATTTTTGAAATAATATTTAGACTTGTTTTAATTGTACAGTACAGAATAGTCAACATAAATATTCTGAATTCTATTACATCTGCTAGTTTTATATATATATCAATGCAGGGTGTCAAACACAGTAATTAACTTAATGTGTTTAGACAACACTGATTGAATAGCATCAAACACAAACTCTCTCATTGTCAGTTAAACAAACTAAGACCTGATGGCTTAGCTTGGCATGTTGAGTGAACAGTTTACATTTCTAATACTGTCTTAAGAATGAACAGTACTGTCAACCTCTCATGCTGACATTTTCCAAAACATACCAGGTAATTTGTATGTCCCAGCATGTGATATTTCATTTTTCTTTATCACTTCATTTTTTGGAAATCTATTTGAAATTCTTAATGAAACATGCCAACTCTATATATTATCAGTTTGTAAGTTTTTTTTTAAATGATCTAAATTATTCTTCATGAATGTTAAAGTGTCAGATATTGGCTTGTAAATTTCATTGTTTTTGTCTTTGGTGTTTAAAATTCAATTTCAGGTCCAATTAAATTTTAAGGTTTCTCTCTCCAGTAAACAGCTGATAACTTCAATGGAATGCTATGTATGCAGGTTGCCTATAACAGACAGGTAGTATACTTACATCATTGTATGGGGATGATGCTGTTGAGCTGCCTATGATGCCAGTTTGAGAGTCTGGACTCATTGAAGAGGCTGTTGATTGTGGAATTATGGGATTTAACTGCAACAAAAAGGACAATTGTTATATAAAGAAATAAATCAAATGTGTTACCCAATCAAACTGTCTATCATTTCATGCAATTTGTTTGTTTGTTTCTTTTTTTCTTTTCTGCAAAATTTAATATCATGTTGCACATTTACAAATTAATGCATGAAACACCTATTGTCTCCAGTGGTTTACAATTTCATGATACAATCTTTGATATTGATTGTCATTTCTTAATTTTTGGCTTGGCAAAAAATATCTGGCATAGCTTCTGCATCAACCTTTCCAAAAATCAATAGCTCATGTGAGACAGGGGAAAAAAATATCTGTGACCTGTGTAGTTTAATGAAAATGCATTTACACTTAATTATCTCAACAAGGACTTGATTGCTCAATCTAGTATAAGATCAATGGAAACTGATGATGGGAACCTGCTATTCTAGATAAGCCTAATTATTTTTGGTGACCAGTTCCCCACAGATCAATATTTATCAGGGCGACAATTAATCTATCCTCCAATGAGAAAGCAAAGGAATTAACATAAAACATTTAGTAGGGAAATTTATGAAAATAGGCGAAGTTTTTCTTCATCTCTTTCTCCCGTTATATTTATCACAAATGCATGAACTGCCCCTATACCTTATCAGCCTGGCCTAGAGAAATTTAAATATTCTATTCAGTTCTCTAAGCCATAAGTATACCTACAGATATATCTTAAAGTATACATACATGGGTTGACAACCCATTAATGGGACAGCTATTTATAGAAAGACTTGGGACATGTCTCATTCCAGACTAAGAAATTTAATTTTAATTATTAAATTGATATTTATTTGTTATTTAAAATTAGGCTAAGTATTTCTAATTTAATTTTTATATCAAAGCAAAGAGAAATTCAGAAAAAAACCCAAATATTTTAATAATGTTGTTTTCTTATTCAATTAAATCAAGAGATGTTACTCTTTCATTCATAAGATGTAAACAACGTGTTCTCCACTTACCCTATATGTAGTAAATCCAGTTCTTTCAAACTTAATCATTGTGGACGGATGATGGTAAAAATAACTTAAGTTAATTTACACAGTACAAAAACTGTACCTTTTTAAAATAATAAATAAATATATATCACAGAAAGTTAAAATAAAAATACTCCTCACTAAAGCATTTCAAATTGTAAACTAGTTTATATGGAATAAAACATTTGCCTTTACACAGGTATAAACTTGTATAAAGTCCGTGCGACAATCTACCTGCCTGAACACGTAGATATTGGCAGAGTTCAATACCAGGTGATCAATAAGTATTTATAATATGATAATGCCTCTAGATTGGGGTGACGTAAAGGGGGAACAAAAGATTGATTTAAATGGATATCCGTCATGCATGAATACTTTACAAATACCTTGTTTTAAATTTTTAATGACTTTAGGTACTGCAGTCAATTTGAACAAAACTGCATAATTTAAATTGGCATTCTGTTGTCTTGGTTACTGGGGTTAAATCTATATATAGAAGTCCAGCATGGCTTTGTTTAGATTAGTGAAAAGGCTGTGCAAACAAAGATTTCATACTCCAAGCTTTAACTCTATGTAATATCTGAAGACTTGTAAACATTTAACCCAGTTTTGCCATAATACACTGGGCAAATGCATTATTAGTTTATGTAATACAACCCAGTTTAACAATGGCCTTTTAGCATATCCAGGTAATGTTCTTACACCTAATTAAAGGTAACAAAGACTGCCAGCAGGTACAGGGACTAGAGGAATAAATCCTTTGTGGTCTAATATTAAACGGGACAACAGCTTAATCAGATTAGGGCCTTCATTTATAATTTAATGAGTGTTGTTTAGCCTGTTTTAAACTTGATCAATAATATCAATGCTAAAATCTGGTTTGCATCCAATTTTTAAAATGTGGAAGCTCAGTGGTCCTGGGAAATTGGCCAGTAACCCGAATGTCACTGGTTCAAGTCCCACAGTGGACACGTGTTGGATTGTCTTTAGACAAGACATTTTACCTGTATTGTCTCAGTCCATCCAGCTGCAATGAGTACCAACTTATAAATACTAATGATAACTGAGATGGACTCATATTCCATTCAAAGGTCGGGTGTTGGGGGCAGGGGGAGGGGGGAGTCAATAACCCAGTTTGAGCATTACCCTTAGATTTTTCTTTTTTTTTTTTTCTCCTGGTCCAATTTTTAAAGAGATCAAATAAATATATTCCCAATGGAATGAAATTGATTGATCTTACACATTGTTTTAATCTGCCTTTCAAATTATCACACTGACAACAGCACTTTAAAAATATAACGAAACAAGAGTTCATGACACCAAAATAAGCATGTTATGTAAAAACTGTGTAGAGTTTTCATTGATTTACTTTTATTTGCTTCAATTGTTGTGTAAATATATGTAACAACATTGAGTAAATATTTCTGGAATATGGAACTCAATGAAAGCAGCTTTAATCAGAGTAAAAGTGAAAATATAAATCCCTCAGAATATTGTAAATATACTGGAGCACTTAACTGACAGTGGTCAGTGTTTTTTCCCCCATTTTGATAGATCTTAACAGCTAAAATTTTGCTTTCTTTGCAGAATATTGATATAAGATTGCTTAATCTTGATGTAAAAACAAAATCATACAGCTCCTATATGAGATGTTCTTACTCACAAGTTAAAGTTTTAAAGGGTTTAAGATTTCCCAGAGACAAGACCCTAATGGTTGATAAAACTTCATAAACATGATAAAAGAAAGAGAAAAAAATTTCAAAACTCAAACTTACAAGGTCTGTGATTGAGTCCTGATGGTTGGACTTGATTTGGAATCTTTCAATCTGAAGACTGGTGGTGTCATCGTCTTCGTTGATGTCTTCATAGGAATAGTCCAAGTCTCGTTGTTGTATGTGTGTGTATTGGCTATGGTAAGAAAAATACATCGATATAACACTTGTATCAGTTAGTACTAGGGATATTTTACTGTTGTTTTTGCTGAATATGTGTACACTGTTCACAGAAAAAACAACAACATATTTTCATATAAATTCTCATATTTAAGAGCTCAAAATTGATACATTTTGACATCTTCATTTCTGTACATTTTCAATTTCTTTTCAAACACATTTTTTTCAAAAGTACTTTATCCATTTTGCATACAGTAAAACATACTTATAGCAAACAAAGCATAAAATGAATTGATACTTAGAGCGAAGTGCTTTTCATTTCCTGTTAGGTTTTAAACATATTGTGTAGCCCACTGTTATAACAAATTACATTGATGACACAGCAAAATCCCACGTCCCTTAAACTTTGTTGTAAGTGGGTTTTACTGTACAGTGTACATGCAAATATATTTAAGAAAAACTGTTTACCCCTGATCTGTGCACTCTTCTAAGCTATGCCACAAGTAATCAAAAGCCTCCTGAGACAAGGGAGGCCCAGTGACTGAACTGTTCGGGGATATAGTTGAAGTTTGCGACATGGCAGGAAACTTTTTGCCAAATCTGAAAAGAGAGTTGATCCTTAGAATTCTGATTTCATGTACAACAGACGCACCCATCTCTGCATAATGCAAATCATATAATATGCTAGCAAAAAAACTAAATTGAATTAAGTTTGTTAATTAATTAATTATTTAACATCTGAGCATAATTTAAAACATGGCCATTTTATTTTTTTATTATAAATTTAATCAAAATTGAATAAAACAAACAAATCCCCTTAATTCTTAGAACCTTTACATCTATTTCTTTGGAAAATCCTCTTTTCTTTAAAGAAACGCCTACAGATGTCTCAATTTGAGTAATTGCTCTATAGACTATAATATTGGTTATCAGATGAGAGAACGATTTAACCTAAAAATTCTCCAAGGTTTCTATTGCCTGTTGATACCTAAATTAATGTACCTTCCATGCTTCGTCAAGCAAATACATACAATGTGCAAGTAAGCATGGAAACCAATTCTATAGAAATTGATCTCAAGTTTTTTCCTATTGAAATCCTTTCTCAAACAAACCATGACAGTCAATTCTTTCTATTTAACAATTTTCTTGACAAAATTTCTTTTGAAAATAAAGACTTATGGGTCAGAGAGAAAAGAAAGGGAACAACTGTCAACAAAAATGAATAACTGTTTATGTGATCTTCAATGAAAAGTACACAGCCATGGGGTTCACCGGTATAAGCCATTGTGCAAACAAACTTAACTGATCTATTTTCTTCACTGACATACATTAAAACTTTGTTTGAATTAAATTTTTACCAAAATTTATCCAAGAATGAAAAGAGTATAGAAAACAAAATGAACACGAAAATCTCCACTCCTGAAAAATTGCATATTTGTTTAAAATTACTGTACTTTTGCACAATTCATTAGCAAATACTTAAATAGCCCTAATAATTCAAAAACATATTCACATATAAAATAGTAATTTTTATACTGAACTGTATACCAACTGTGGTTAATTCTATCTTAAACCTAGTTAACATCAACCATAAATAAAAGTGCTTGATTTCATATCTTCATATCGGTGTATATCACACTATTTACAGAACTTTTGAAAGTTGAATCAAACTTTTGAAATGTTTGACCCCTTATCTTATCAATCCACAGAAATATTGAAAGTTTGTTTACACAGCAAAAACGAGGTCAAAATGACCAACTCCAAATTTCAAGCTACAGACACTTAAACATTTTCTAACAAAATTGAAACAAAAATAATTGCTAAAACATCAAAACACTGGCACCGGAACATGTAAACCGCCATTCGGCATTCCATAAAAATCCCCAAATCGACATTTTTACACTTCTGAACTTCGGTGTTCCATAAAATAAAAGCGTCATTCCTCATACTTACGATAGTAAAAAATATTGCCGTTTTAACGGCTATATATGAGGTAACAACATAAAAGTTATGATTGAACACAAATGGTGATCCTCGCACGTCCACACACTGACACTGCACTGTCAATATACCTTGATCAATATACCACGTGGTTTTCTATTTATTATGGCGGGTGCATATTCGCGGGAAACGCGTTATGACAGAAATCGGGGCAAAATGTTGAATTTAAATTTAAAACGAATAAGTTTTTTATACACTTACCTGTGTTTATAATTTAATTTAGCCATTGGAAATATTTTTAATCAAATCAAACATTTCTTTACTTGCTATATACCCATGACCCCAGGGATTAACTGTATAGATTGACCAATCAGCGCGCAGCACAGTCGGGAGTCCGAAGATTACACTTGAAAAGTTGTTGCTTATGAAAACACACACCTGTGATTTTAACGCTACCTGTGATGCAATTAACAAGCTAATTACTAAACAGTACGGTACATTTTTATGGTGATTGATCAAAGTGATTGTGAGTTCTGCCGCTAATAACTAAATGCAAAATGATGCACGGTTTGGGAAGCTAACGAGAAGATGGCGACTTTCGCATGTTGACACATGCTGATATGACTGTGAACATTGTATTTTCTTTTTGTGTATTCGAGCTGAGCATTCGTTAAACTGTCTGAAATATTTAAGAAATTGACATGAATTTTTCCGAGTTGTTCCGTCAAAGTAGTCAAATTTGCAAGTTTTCCCCCGACGGAAAGTATTTGGTAAGCAAACAGACTCGGTGACAAGATACATTACATATCAGCCCATTATGGTATTACCTGGTGTATTTTCTAGTGCACTTGGTTTCTTTATTCATACATATATTTTTCATGAACTTGAATGAAACTGTTCAATCGTAAATCCTACACCAGGTTACTTGAATATTCTTATACTTACTGGTACAAAATGTAAAGCAGTTGACATATTCCTTCACCTTGATAAAGCTATATAGCTTTATCAAGGTATTTAAAATACCTTGATCAAGGTATTTTACTCAAAAAAAATCTTTAAAAATTAATTCTTGAAAGTACTAGTTTTTGACAGTGTGTACATAAAAAAACTCTGGTATCAAAAAGAAGGCATAAAATGTTTTTCTACTGATTTGTTTGTGTTTAAAGCGACTTTCAGTAATTAATTTTTAAAGAAGAATTTTGGCATTTTAAAGCTATATAGCTTTATCGAGCTATATACACATACAGACTAAACATACAGAACAGTATCACAATATAAAAGCACATATACTATGTTCATAAATCATTATACTGATAAATCAGAATCTGTATTCGAAACTTGATTTTTAAGTTTCCTTTGCTTCCTGTATATGGAAACTATTCATAAACAATGCAAGAAAAAAAAAGCAACATATCAATAGAAAGTTATGCCTGCAATTGTGTTGCAAATACATTCTTTTTAGTTTTAAAATTTTGTTCAATCCCACTGTTAGAAAAAAAGAATATATGTACTACAATAAAAAATATTTAAATCCAATCCTACTGTTAGAAAAAAAGAATATTACAATAAAACATATTTAAATCAGATACATGAGAAAATGTAAAGTATTTTTTAAAATACTTTTTTAAAAATAGTTTTTTTTAAAATTAATGTTACATATTATACAATTTGGGTAATATGAAGTACCATTGAAAGTCTGTTTATTGTGCAATGTTACATATTCATTGTTGAGTTCTACCTCTTTGATAAGTAATCTGACAGCAAGGTGCCAAATTAAAAACTGTCAGGAATTAGAGAAAATCTGAAGGAAATATTAAACATCAATTGACTAATCAGCATTTAGGATTATGGTATAAGCATGATAAGTATTACAATTAACCCTCGTGTAAATTTTGAATGGGAGGGAGTTAACATGCTTCAATAAAAATATTCTCCTTTTTTGTATTGGTAAAAGTCTGTAAGCAGATTATATCACAAAAACCTGTAATCCACCAAATAACATTTTTCACACTCAAAACAGAGTTTTATGACATAAAATTTGGTTTAAGATACTTGAAAATATAACAAAAAAGTGCCATAGTTAATATATTATATATACACATGGATAACAATTGCAAATAATCTGTTCACTTTTTGCTTACATATACAATTATCCAGTAGGCATCAAGTGTCAAATTTCATTGTAGCAAAAATTAATAAACTTATACAGTAAATATGATACATGTACTTTAAAAAGAAAATGGAAAAAGGTGTTTTTTTTTAAAGGCAAATAAAATTCATGAATGTTGAGACAAGGTCATTAAGACTTTATTATTCGTGAAAATGATTTTTTTGTTGAAATTAATTTTGTATAAATTTATTGTGTTTATTTACAGGCATCTGTGGTTGAATTTCGCCTTGTGATCAGAGATGTGGATACACTACAGATACAGAATCTGTTCACATGCTTAGACACCATTCAACATATAGAGGTTAATGCTCCACTATTCAATTCAAGTCACTGCTTTGCTACCTTTATTCAGAATTCAATTAATTATAACCACAGTAATCGTAAAACTAATTTGTTATGCAATTTTAATGAATTTCTTGTATGTCATGGCGGATAGTGCTTCATGACATGAACAAAATGTTACAATGCATTATAATGCAAGTACATGTACAACATTTTAAAAAGTTGAATTGCATTTTACATTTTAAAAAATATATTCATTCTTTTAGTGGTCATCAGATTCCCAGTTTGTTTTGTGTGGACTATTCAAAAGGGGTGTAGTACAGGTGAGACAAAAATTTTTTTTAACAAATATTTTTGCAGAAGTTTAAATGGAATTTTTCTGCTTAGAGTATTTCCCCTTTGAAGCATTTCCAAGATAAGACACAGGAAAAGAAAAAGAATGTTTACTTTACATGTTCTAGGGCAAAAGACACTTCCGTTAATACCTAAGAATCTTGAAAAGTTTGTTAAATTATTATTAGTAGTAATGAATCAATATTTCAAACACTTATCTAAATACATATATATGGAAAGTTTTTTTTTTTGTTTTAAATTCTTTAACTATGCGAAATACAAATAAAAATTTTTAAAAGTAAGCATTTCTTTAAAAAAGCTTTGGAAAAGATGATGATCAACAAGATAAGAATAATCTTATCCTCTATAAATCCTCAAGAGAACAGAATGATCTTTCTCAGTGATAACTTATTAATCACATCTCTACACCTAGTCACCCCCTGTGATAAATTCATGGTTATGTCTTTGAAGTTTACCTTAATTCACACCCATTGTAAGACAGCCACATGAATTTCATTTAATATTTATAAATCAATGTTGCTTTCTAATGGTTTAAACCTGTTTCCCTGCTGTTATTCAGAAAGAGTTGTCTCTCTTGTTCGCAGTCTCCAGACTCTTGTTTATATATTATTTACAGGCATGTGTAAATTTTATCTTTTGATATGATTAAAAAATTAATAGAGTGAGAAGATTTTATCAATGCATGCTGTAAATTCCCAAAATCTAATGTGCCTTGCATCAAATTAACTATCACCAAAGTATTTTAAGTATATAATAAATAATTCTACAAGGACGTTACATGCTATTAAAATTTAGGAAATTTTGAATTAAAACTTAAATCATGATATTTAAATTTATCCCATTTTAACTTTAAATTTCTTACCACACGATAAAATTAAGCTAAAACACATTAAAGAAGCATATTTTGAAAGAAAAACAAGATGATTTGAAATCCTCTTCAATGGGGGAGAGTACATTTATTTCTACAACATGTACACATTTTCCATACACTTCGTATCTAGAAATATATAAACTATATGTTTAAAAAAAATTGATTAAGAATTTTCTAATTTTTCTCCCTGTGGCTTGTAGGTCTGGTCCATAGAACAGCCAGAATGGACATGCAAGATAGATGAAGGTTCAGCTGGACTTTGTTCGGCCAGATGGAGCCCGGATGGAAGACATATCCTAACAACAGCTGATTTCTACGTAGGTTATGGATGTTTTCAAAGAAAATTTACTTGACTGGCATTTAAAATAAATCTGCATTTTTCTGAGAATCATGCTTGTTTATTTAGCCAACAAGTACATTCAATGCTTAAAACTTGCATTAGATTTCTAAGAACATTACTTGAAAGCCAATCCTGCAGTGTATTACTTAGCCCCCAGAATTTGCATTTAAAAATGGGGGAAGCAGAATATTGGAAGTACATGCGTTTTTTTATTTTTATTTTTATACATTGTAGAAATGTCAAATAGATTTTCATGCATAGAGAAATAGTAGGAGAAAGGGTAAATTGAGTTAACAAACATTTTTTACTGATTTGAGAATAAAGGCTTTCCAGTTTTATAAAATGAAATTGATTAAGGGATTAACTCACTGATTTTGAATAGTGTCAGTCCCCATAGCTTCTCTGTCTTCTCCTCGTCCTCCCAATAATTGTTAATGTATGACTTTTGATTCTATAAAATCTTCAGGTCTATTGAAAAAATTTATGGCCTTTTCACGTTTTTTCCTTATTTGTCTTTCAACTTATTTGTGTTAAATCATTGCGGATAAGGTTCCCAGCCTACCATCTTTAATGTTTTTGAATTGGGTGGATATTTAATTGTGAATGTCACTTCTTGACAGTGGACAATTTTCAGGTAGATTAATTCTCAATAGGTTCTGTTGTATTGGCTCTGCCACTTTTTTAAAAATAGTTATTTGGTGTAAGGTCGTAAAATGTTTTCCTGGGGAAAACAAGTACTTCTGTCCCAATGCTCTCAATTTTACACCAATGCTTCTTTTCTCCCTCATTAATTGTTCAATGCATTTATTTTGTAGTACCTCTCTGTTAATAGCTGTAATGCTAATGCTTGGATTACAACTACCGGGTATACTTGTGTCATGTGCATTTTATTTTAACTGTGAAAAAAAAAAAAATTGAATTGTGACTGGTAGTACCCAAGATATCAGAAAAAAATTTGCCACTGCTATGTATAAGAGAGTGGATTTGTAATGATATGTTTTTTTTTAAATAATATATTTCTTTTTTTTTTTGCATATATCATTGAGGAAAAGGATCATTGATTCCATAACTTGCATTCATTTTAAGATATTTAAGCATCTAATGAGAGTGATTTTTAAGATTTTTATCTTGACATAATTGAGTAAAAATATAGACTTTCTGCCTTTGATCAAGTTACGTAAATAACATTCTAGTGACATTTATTGCTTCTAAATTTTATGTTTAAAAGCAAGATCAGATTGCATATTGTGGCTAAATTATTTTGATCTGATTTTTGTACAAAATGCATATTTTTTAATTTGTTGACAATTTTCTCAGTCTTTTCTCTCCCCTTTTTTAATGATAAGTAAATCTATACATGATGTTTATGGAATTTTAAGGTGTACAAGTTATTTTGCAGAGACATATTGACTTATAAAAATATATTGATTAATGAGAAAGAACACACCCAATTGTAAAATCATAAACACATTAATTAAAAAAATATTAACTTTGAGGTATTTACAACTCTGCTGTGAATTTAAAAGTTAAATGGGAGAGAGAGAGAGGGAGAGATTGAAAGAGAGAGACAGAAAAATTGCATTACTATAATCATAATTAATTAAAATACAATGCCCAATTTAAGAACTTGTAAAATAATTTTATCTTTTTACAGTTGAGGATAACTGTTTGGTCCTTAGTAACAAAGTCTGTCTCCTATATCCGCTACCCAAAACAGTGCCAGAAACGTGAGTAAAGTGAAATGCTTGTACATATCTAGATTGTAAGTGGGAGACATTAGATTGCAGACTTTTTGTAACATTATGCTTTCTAGTACTTGAATATTTTTTTGGGTAAAGCAGATCAAAACCTAAATTCATGTGGATTTGTATGTTACATATTATTAAATAAGTATTATAAAGATCAACTATCATTACTTTTCAGCATTAGACTACAGCAATGGAGGGAGGTACATGGCCCTGGCAGAGAGAAGAGATTGCAAAGACTTCATCAGCATCTTTGCTTGTGACTCCTGGGAGCTTGTAAAAGTATAATCAGTCATTCTTTTAACATGTCAATATAAATGTTAGCTGTAAATGTGAGTTTCTCCACAGCAGAGACCAGTGGCGGATTTAAGGGGGAGCGCACCCGGCGCGCGCCTCCCCTAAAATTGTCAAAGATAACGTAAATCACAGTTTCGTCTAGAAAATGTAAATGTGTCTTCTTGGTAGACCTCATTTTTACCCTACAAAATCTCTATTATCCAGGCGGTTCCGGGGGCTGGCTACCTGGACCCACTGGGGGCCTCAAGGCAGCCCCCAGACCCCTTGCCTACTTTTGGCGCCCCCTCTAACTTCAATTCCTGGATCTGCGCCTGGAGACACTGAGTGAAGAAGAATGCAATTACCTTGTGAACATTTTTTTTTTTACACATGTTCACTTAATTATACATTTTAATACATGTTAGTACTCTAATTCTACATATAGGCTAGCATTTCAACTCTATTGAAGGTATTTTAAATTATTCTTTTTGATTCAAAATTATAGCACTGTCAGCAGAAAATTAGCATTGTCATTAAACAATTTTTCTGATATTTCAAAATAATTGAATATAAATTGAATTCTGCTCAAATTTCGTCTTTTAGCATTTTGAGACAGAGACAGACGATCTGGCGGGTATTGAATGGTCCCCTGATGGGCGGGTCCTGGCGGTGTGGGAATCCCCAATCACGGTAAGTGGTGCCTAGTGCAATAATGTCACCAAATACTGACCAATCATAGGAAGTCTTCATAGTCAATATTGTCAAATGCAAATGCTTTATGTTTATTTAACAGCTGATTTAACCCAAGTTTCAAATTGCACCAATATACATTTACCACATTTTGTCTAGCTCAATAAAAAGAAATTTAATAACCTATATAACATTTAATTGTCAGATGAATTATCAATTGAGAAAGCTAGCTGAAATTTCACAAGTAGATAGAAGGTACATTTGATCAGCTTTAGATTTATTCATCTGAAATGTACATCTATTTTTATAGTTTTTCTTAAGAAAAGTTGTAAAGTCTTTGAATCAAAACTCTATAGAATCTAGGTATGAATGAATATCTATTTAAGGAGAAACTGGCACGTACCTTTTTTATGTAAGAGTACATGCTTTTGAATATGATTTTTTTTTTTTGCTAACTCTTAAGTTCGTATGCAGGTTCCTCTTTCGCTCATTAAACAAAATTTCATTCATAGGAGAGTGAAGATTTACACAACCTTGCAATGACAAAAAGAATAGATAACATCACTTTGACATCATTCATAAATGTTGTCCTATGTAGATAATGGTGTTTTTATCATGCCAGAAATCAAAAGGAGTGAAATTTAATTCTTATTGAGAGGCATAACTGAAAATAAAATTTTTACTGATATTCAGTTAGATTCACTTAATTCAATAAAAACTGTCAGGTGTGTCTTTACAAAAGATTGTCAGAAGAAGAAGGGTAAAATTGACGTCAGTGTTTTTTGGGTGAGACATTTTAGGTGACCACATGCATTTCATTGGATTTATTTTGACATAAACCATATTTTTTAAAAACCAATCGACTAAGTCAGATTTTATCAAATGACTACATTTTTAGAGCTTATTACAAAAAAATAGTGGCAGCTAAAGTGCATAAAAAAATGTTTATTAATTCCTCTACCACCCAAAAATCAGTCTGTTAATTTTATTGGTTTTGATGATGTAGGTGACCTTTTTTCCTGACATAAAAAAGAAAAAAATCATAACAAATATTTAATTCCAATCTATTGAAAATAGAAATAAATGATATTTTGGTAGGCTATAAAATTTGATGAATTTGAATTTAATGTAATGCTATGCAAAGTGTTATCAGAATGTGATTTAATTCTGTGATTGATACTGTATGTTTATTGCATTCATTGACAAACTTTATATAATGCATACAATTTTAGGAAATATTTTAAAATTAAAAAATGCTGCAAGAAAGTTGTGTTTTTTTACTGTAAAAAATTAGAGCAATGATACCTTTTATGACCAGTCTTTCAAGTCTGGCCCTAAAGGCAAATACCAGGTCAAATTCAAGGTTTACTCCAAAGTTTATTAACCAATTAGTTTGTGTAACCAAAGAACCAACTTTTCAAAACATTAGTTTAAAAGCAGTCCCATAAAACATACAATAAGATAAAATGTTCTGCTTTAATTCTTTTCAAAAATAAAAGTATTGTCTTCTGCCTGTCCAAAGACTGGTAAAAATCCAATCGAGTACTATCTCTTAGATAAATAAACCAGTTTTTTTCACAGCAATCTGTGTGTTATCTTAGAAGGTGGTAAACTAACTACTTTTACTAAGAAAAGCTAAAGTGATAGGTAAACAAAAGTGGAAAATAAAGATCAGACTAATTACCCTGCAGTGGCCCAAAAAAGTCTCTGTTTACCTTGGGAATGTTTTGGACTGTTGGGCATCATGTGTGAAAATTGGTTTTGAAAAGAAAATCAGATAAAGAGACACGAGTCAATATTTTGTCTTTCATATTCTCAATGAAGATCCTTATCCAAGAGTTGGTGATGCTTCTTTAGGGCACAATATTGATGTAATAGAGGGTATGACTTCAAAGTCCAGCCATTTTCACTGACAAAAGTCATCTTTTGAGATTAAAGATAAGCTGCAGTTACATACTTGAGTTAATCTTACATGTAATGGTGCCATCTAGAGTAAACACCTTGATGCAGGTAGCCAAGTAGAAACTAACAATTTATCTGATCAATTCCAAGGCCCCATTTTACTGATGAATTGATACCCAAAATTTTTAAGCGTGAAATTGGTATGAAGTTAACTTTAACACAAAAGATAAATGATATTTTTAAAAACAGATGTTTATATCTGCTTGTCATGTAGTTTCCATATATATCTTCATAATAATATGTCCAAAAGGCTACAGAATCATTTTTTTTTTGGCAGTTCAGAAATGTTGCTTTGGCCAAAAACTTATTGTAATGAAATGACACTTTAGATAGAATTAATGCAAAAAAGACACAGAACTGACCTTGAAGTTTGAGGGTTTTAAAGTACAAACTTATAAGAGGGGATTCAAATGATTGAGTTCAAACATTGCATGTGCTTTATCATGGGGGTTCAAGTCATTTGGTCCACAGGTAGCTTACATTCCTGTCCAGGGGAAAATTAATAGCTATTTATCTTTGATTATAGCTTGAAATGATGAAAGGTACCCATTGTTCAGGTCAGGATCATAGCATAAGATACTGGTGTTTAGAAACAGATTAAATCATTTTCATAAATGACCCTCGATTCAATTCAGAGTTTTACTTTATGACCCCCCAAATTTACAAATCTGCTTCCTTACCTTTGGTTAGTGGGTAAAAATGGTGCTGTACCTTTATAGTTGAATGGACATTTAGAGAACAAAGAAAATTGTTATGTTTAGATGTGTGCACAGAGCTGGCTTTTAAACAAGGTCATGATAATTCAATACAATTGTTTAAATATACTTTAATGGTTTATGACAATATGTTACTCAGAATGAGTACTCGAAATGAGTACATGTCTAATAGAAAAATAACTGGGAATTTAACCACAATTCACTATTTTGAAGAAATCTCTCATGAGTTTTGATTTCAAATCTTTTTCCAGTTATGATTTTAGTCAAAGACTCCTAAATGGTGAGACACTGTTATCCCTTTGAAATCTGTATAATGGTGTTAAGAGTTTCTGTGATTGGGTAAGGTGCCGGTATGTAAGATTTAGGCGATAATTGGTATTACTGCTGGACATAGCACCCGTTAAGCTGTACAGTCCTCCTTGATATGTAGCTGATAAGGAATTTAAAAAGCTGTCAAAAGTGACCGGTGATTTGTAAGTGGACAATATGACTAACTGACTGTAAAGATGTCATTCAGGACAAATGTATTATGGATTTGGATCAAAAGGGGGGAAAATCCCTCTGAACCATAAGATTCATACTGAGCTGTGATTAGCACATTACACAATTCTTCTTTTATCTTTAAATACCTTTTCTATGACTTAGACTTTTTCAGAAAATATAATATTCAGCAAAAATTGAGAGTTTTAAAGAAAGAGTCTGTACATTTTTTGTGACTCTTGTTTTTTGGCCATGACCTCTTAGACAAGTAAATCACTTTCGGAGCAAAAAGTTTTGTTGTTTTTGCTTTGCTGTGTTTTAAATTTATTCTTTGTGGACAATTGCAGCTCTGCTGGAAAAAAATATCTTGCAAACAAAATAAATTTGATTTTCAATTGAACATTATTAGATAATAAATCATATTTATCTGAGATGTTTGACTTTTTGACCTTTTTATGACATATGGAAAAAGCATCTTGAAGGCATAGAAAAAACAATATTCAAACCGAATCAGTGCACACTAACCATTTCTGATATATATTGTAATGCATGTCTTTGTGGCCGTAAAATGTTAATTCAAGGGTAGGTCACAAGTTTACTCATTGTGCGGAGAATAATTTATGGATGAAGATTATCCTTTTAACTTCCTGGGGGTAGCAAGTGTGTTTTGGAGCAGCACGTTTTCTGTTATTTAGCAATAAGTTTATCCTAGCAAGGATATATATTTTTATTTTTTTAATTTTAATTTTTTTTGAGCACTTAATGTTCACTTAGATTTTTTTCTTCAGAACTGTACCATTGCATTGTTTGTACCTTATTTTTATTACATTTAAATGCATTTCCACCCTTCGTAAACAAATCTGACATGCACATTTTGTTTTGATTTGCTTAACACTAAGAGTACCCATTTTGTCTTTTTTCTTTGGAAAATGAAGGGTGGGGTGGGCAGATGCAAGAAATTCTAGATCATAATAATTAAATCAGCTCTGATTGAGTATTCAAGTACAAAGTGTAGGTAACTTATTTTTTTGTGAGTTCATTGTCCCATTTCTTGCATATTTATGGATCATAAAAAGTAAATTAATTGACTTCAGAATAAATACAAATCAAATTAACATAAAAAGACTGGTTTGATCCAAGTTATTTGTCTTAGTAGGGCACTAATACAGATTCCTAAGCAATTGATGGACTCCTGAAATTGTTGTCTAGTATAGTTTAATGTCAAAATGTCTCGAGTTTTATTTTGTTTTTAGGAGAGTTGTTCATGGGTGGATATTTTTGGTGGAGATTTTAAATTTTATATGACATTTTATAGTTGGCCCCCAGTATTACTGACATCTCATATTTACAGCTAATTGGAGATGGCATCAACTTTTTAAGATTTAATAGGCCTGCTGATAATGTTTCTTGCTTTGTTATGGCAAATATTCCTTTTTTTTTGGAGGAAAACTTCATATACAATAATTCAAATTATTGCGAACTTATATTTATGCAGTTTTAGATATAATTCTGTGCAGACTCAGATATATATGGGAATATAAATTACTTAGTAATCCCCAAATTTAACACCATAATCAAGTACATCTCAAACATGAATAAATTTTACATATCTATGCATAATTGCTCAATCATACTTCTTTCGACAGAATATTTTTATTGGGTCGATCGAATCTCACACATGGGTTATAAGTTCTGAAATTCTAGTACTCTGTTCATATAACAAGATTATTTCACTGTTATCTTAACTAGAAAGAAAAATCAGTCAGCTGTGACCTGGTAGATTTTCCATATCAGCTGGGACACTATGTACCATAAAGTATAACTTATGTTTAAGTTTTCTTAATACATATAACTTATATCCTGGCCTCGTGTTCTGTTGAAACTGAAGACTGGTTTTAGCATTGCATGGAAAAACAAATTTTCTTAAGTGTGTTTTCTTTTAGTTATTGTTTTCATTTTTCATTTGATAAATTCACGGATTGCATCAATAATTGCGTAAACAACAAGAGGATGAATTTGATTGGTTCGGTAGATAAAAATAATCAACAAATAATTTCTATATTTACAAAAACCATTGACCTTTGCACTATGCAAACTTCGTTATCAGAGAAATCAAAGATTAATTACATAATCAGACTGGTATATGTAAACCTGCGTATATATAGTCTAGAAACTTTATATTCATTTTAATTGTGAGAATTACTGCATAAGTTCAATCTGGCATTTCTTGAGTATTCACTTTTATATCTGATTAGAATATGCCTAATTTCATTATTAAGTTACATGTAAATCAAGATTTTAATTACGCTGGAGTATGAATTAAGGGTCAAGTTTAAGGATTCCGTATTTACTTTTGATATCTACAATAAGATCGTAAGATTAAATCGAAACCCAATTTTAGGTAGTTCAAAGATCTTCTATAGACTGGATACAGAAATATTCACATTTCAATCCGTCCTACATCTAACTCCATTATTATAGTACGTTCCTTAGGTTTCAGGTTTTCAGGCATACACTGCCATCACACATTAAGTGACCTTAACCAACCCCTGGCTTTCTTTTCACCTTTTGTATATGATTGACATGCTGATGATTGGCAGGTAGAGGGAGAAAACAATAACGGGCCTTAAAATCAAAAGATAATGGAAGGAATTTAATACAGGCAGCAATTTGTGGAGAACAATAATGTTTCCCTATGGTCACAATGTTTAATCTTCCACAAAGGTGTTACAGTGCTACAGGGGTTAATTACAGGCGGGTTGTTTGTTTACCTGCAATGCAATTTACCTGTCCAGCTTCAATCATTTCATTCATTTATTCATTTCTCATGGGCAGTTCAATTTGTAAGTGATATATATACATTCACAGTAAGGTTTGCATGATAGAGTCATTTTATACAGACTGACTCAAACCAAGGCTGCATGCATATCCATTGAAGAAACAAATGTTTGATGGCATATGCAGTGATTTGACATCTTCATTAACATATTATTTAAAAGCATAAAAATTCCACGAAGTGTCTTCTGATTGAATTGGAAGGAAAAGTGAAACTATATATTCATGGTTAACATCTGATATTCAGTAGGTTAGGAGATAGTGGCAATAAATGTTTGCAGAAGCATGTTCATTGAAATTTCATAGGAACATTTAAAAAAAAAGCATTGCAACTTTAAAAAGTGACAGCCCCTTTAAGGTACAACAGATAGCATCACCTTGTTTTGTCAGAGTTGCAGATGTTGCATATAGCCCAACAGTTACTTAAAATACTGATTCAAAGTGAGACATAAATAAGATTGTTACCTGCATCCAGGGTTATAGGTCATGGCAGCAGCCTCCATGTGGTTTCTGGGCATGGACGGATACATCCTCTGGGGTGGGGGCAGATTGGGCTGGCGGGCACTCCATATGGGCACTTGGGGGATGTTGGGTATTTCTGGCACATGGGACGGCATCATGAGTGGAAGACGGACGGAATAAGTGCTGGCTCTCTCTCCTTAATGTCAGTGAGACATACAGCTGGACGGATGATCGGGACACCTGTTGTGATGTCAGGGTATCTGCCTCGGTCTGTATCCCACCTCCTTTAAATCCCTGTTACAACTGTCAAAAAATGTGCTTGTCATTTAGAAATAGAACTTTTGGATACAGATGAGTGACTAGAAATAGCTGTGGCATCAAGAGGTGTTAGATAGAACGTGGTTTAAACTTCGCTCAGTTACTCCAAGTTCCTACCACTGACAGGTATAACTCGAATGGTGCCGCTTCAGTAGCGTTCACAAGAAAAATTGCTAGAAACAAAAAAAAGTGGAAGACATGTAAACTCTGAATGGCTATTGTCCGAAAACCTGTTGAAAAGAAGGACATTTAACAGATCCAACAATAGGATCACCCCAGGAAAAGAATTTAATTTTTTTTTAATACACACTCTCCTTCCTTAAAGTCTGGGTGCATTCTAAAAGTTCTACAGATAAGGGTAAAGTTAACACAAGATTGCATCTGCGATAGCTTAGTCTCTGTGCAGTTTAATTTAGGTGTGGTTTGCATTTCGACTGTACTTACCTAGAAGCCTATGTGTAGACATCTTGTCTAAAATCTCACTGATGTTTGTTTGTTTTTATATAATTTAACAAATGAATCGAACAGGAGAAAAGAGGACATTTAAATATTGATGCTAGGCAAGATAATAATGTCAAATTGCAGGAGATGCTCACATCTGTTTGATGTAAAATTTATTTACCTTGTTTATCAGAATACCCCTTATTCTATACCAAGTATATGGAAAAATCTATCATTAACACTTTCATTAAAATTCATCATGATGTTTTGTCATGTAGTATATCACAAAGGAAATTTAATTTCTGAATTGACAAAACAATTTTTACTTGAAGCTTTTTAGCTCACCTGAGCCAAAGGCTCAAGTGAGCTTTTCTGATCACAATCTGTCCGTTGTCTGTCGTCGTCGTCGTCGTTGTCGTTGTTGTCGTCGTTGTCGTCGTGTCGTAAACTTTTCACATTTTCACAAAACAATTTTTACTGGGTGAAGGGGCTTCAAGTTTGTTAATGAAGGGCCAGCTTTTCCAAGGGGAGATTCATGAATTTGTTAAAAATTAATGCATTTTTAAAAAATCTTCTTTGAACCACTGGGCCAGGAAAGATAAACTCATATAACCTTGAATCAAGTTTGTGACCCCCGGGGCAAGGGTGGGGCCAAAATGGCCAACCCAAGTTTTACATAGGAATATAAAGGAAAAATCTTTAAAAATCATCTTCTCCAGAACCACTGGGCCAAGAAACTCATGTGGATTCATCCTGAGGTAGGGCAGTTTTTCTTCAAGTTTAACATAGGAATATATGGAAAAATCTTTAAAAATCTTCAAGGTCACTCATGTGGAATCATCCTGAGGTAGTGTAGACTCAAGTTTTTTAAAAAGGTTTATTTTGAATATATAGAAAAATCTTTTAAAATCAAGAACCACTGTGGTAAAAAAAAAAAATTCAAATGAAGATTTACATAGGAAGATATAGGAAAAATCTTTAAAATTTGTTGAATAAATGAATTTATACATTTTGTAGGGCGGGGCCAAAATGAACAAATTTACATAGGGATATATTGGGAAACCAATCTTCTTTTCAAGACTTCAAACAATTAAATTAGGTAGTGTTAGATTTCACTGTAGCCCCCCCTCCCCCAAACATCATCAGTAAACTTTCAGGCATTTGCATCAAATAGCGCTGTGGCCCCTGGGCCTCTTGTTTTAATCAGCTGTTTTTATTTGTTGTTGGAGAAATAAATTATAACCTTGAATCAAGGTCATGTCTCATTAGGTGTACAAGAAGTGTCAAAGGGCATTTCTTCCTTGGTCAAGGTCATTGTAACTTGCGAGTTTTAAAAAGCTTTATTGTGATGAAGTCAAAATTTTGTGGTTTGAAAAAAAATTTCAAATGAATGAGGGAGTGTAAAATTGTTGAATAAATGAATTTATACATTTTTCAGGTGAACAAATTTCTAGATCTTGAAAGTTTCAAGAACAATGAAAAAAATTAAATCTTTTGGAAATGAGTGATTTCACTGTAGCAAATTGCTTGGCATTTCATCAAATATCTTCATTTGACACTCATTTCCAGTGTCTTCAAATTAACTATAGTACATAAAAGTGGAATCTAGCTAAGTCTTTCTTTAATATTCTGGAGAAAATAGCAGCTTCACAACAAAATAATTTGCCAAATATTTTAAAATTTCCAGGTACGTTTTAGTGAAATCTCAACTTCCTGAAAATTATCACAATCAGAAATGGTTGAAGAGTTTTGTTCAAGTTTGAAATTTTCAAGTCAATGACTTTTGAAACTTTTTATTTTATACACTTTAAATAATACAAATGCAATTTTTTGAAGCTGATGCCTTTTTAATTGAATTGATAAAAGCTCTCTTAAAAGACTGTCATAAAGGCTTACTTCTCTCAAGGATGTTAATGAGGAATTTTAAAATAATTTTCGGGAATCAATTGATACAATCAGTGTAACAAATGTGTTTATTGGAATCATCATGATGTGAATAAGCATTAAATGCACATTTAATCTAAGAACTTTGTACATTTTTGACGCAGTTGGCCACCTTTGTTTAATTACTGTGCAGTAATTTATCTGTAATTGCCGTGAACCTAGGCACGTACAGTTCTTTGTGGTGTTTTCTCAAGGACATATAATTGTCACCCGGCTGGCATCACCCTCAGCACGCGTCAACCGTAATATGAACAACTTACTGGATTATCATAGCACCGATCTACAATGTACACCTAACTGTATCTTTTTGTTGTTGACAAGCATCTTTAAGTGTTTTATGGACACAGATTCAGGTTTCGTCCTCTAATGAATTATTCAGTGGATGATGCCGCTTTTCTTTGTATCTGGTCGTAAGGACCACAGAAATTTAGAGGACAAATAAGACGTTTTCCTGAGGCATCAACCATTTTACTTGATAATTTATTTACATAGATACAAAGAATGTCATTTGGTGGACCGATGTAAAATCTCTCGCGTAATTTACCCTCCACGAGTTATAAGGGTATAAGTAACACAGTGTCATTTTCAAATATGCAAATGCCAGACTCCTGTATCTCAAATCAGAAAAGAATTTTTACCGTTATTTGTGTATCAGATTTTTTAAAAGCCTCATAAATCATATAGCCTATAATCTGCAAAAATTTTAAATTAAAGTATGAATTTTCATTTGTGTAAAAATATCACGTGACTTCATCAGCTGCAGATATGCTAATTTAATTAAAATGAACTAGACAGACTCTTCTCTTAAGGTGACTGACTACAGAAATAAAAATATCTGGGCAATTTTAGAAAGGGGGTGGGGGTCTGGGGTGGGATAGCGGGTTACAGTATGTTTTTGAGAAATTTTCTTTGGAAATGGAGTAACACATTAGCTTTAACAGATACCTGAGTACTCTGTACTTAGAAAATGAGAAATTCAACAATTGATTATTACAACTGTTAGTTATCAAAACATTATATTATATATATTGAATTCAAATTTTATTTATCAGTACTTATCCCTTGATAATTCAGAAGTGCTTCAAATCTTGTTCACAAGTAGATCAACTTACAGAGCTGAAATAAACACATCTAGATCTTCTTCAAGGGGGAGACCTGATAAAGATCTCCATATATATATTTTATTTTTTAACATTTTGCTTTGTATATTGTCATTTCCCTGAGGATGTATTTATTTTAGAAGTCACTAAAATATTCCCAGATGTAAAGTTTTTTTTTAATTGATATAAATATTCTAAAGGCTTAGTGAACTTTTATCATGATCAAAGTTTCTGTGATATACTTTTAAAAGATTTTTCTCATTTACTTTGCTTTATATTTTCATTTTCTGAAAAAATTGAGCATTGTGGCCTACAAGTCTCTCTCTCTCTCTTTGTATTTGCTGCTATAGTACTCCTTTCATTGTGTTTTAATCCCTATATAAGGTCAAGAAATGGTGAAAAGGTAAATGATTTATCAAGACAAAAACAACAGATGTGCTCAAGATTCCATATCTGATAAAAAAATGTATTTATCTTGAAAATCATCTTCAATATTTTCATTTCAACAGGGGGCAAATTTTCATTGCTTTATTGCAAGTTATAAACCATGCTACACCATTTTCATAGGACATTATTGTTCGCTAAGAGTGTTATCTATTTTTTTTTTATTAATAATTCAGCAATATATTTTTAACAGTTGTACAGTGCAGTTATGTTAATTTATTCTCAACTCAGCATAAATCTGCTAATTTGCATACTTAGAATATTATAAAATTAATGTTGAGTTCATTGACATGCATATAGTATCAATGTGGGTGCATTGGATCATGCACAATAATAATAGCATAGAAATCTTATGTAAGGTGTGTGCAATCTATATATCATTTGCAGGTGTTTTAGTCAATAAGGAAACCTACTGAAAGGTTTTTATTACACATTACATGTATACAATTGAATACTTTCTAAAGACTTTACTTTGAAATTTGTCATTCTCATGCTAGTTGTATAGAGTATCATTTCATACAATCAAAATTCTGTCTTCAAGATTCACTGAGATGTAGATTAAAACATACCACATTCAAGGAAACATTCTCATACTTAATACTGGTATACATCTTTGCAATGAAAATTTTTAGAATCTATTTTTATTGCAAGTTACAGTATACAAATAAAAATTGTAAAATTTTTAATAAAAGTATTCTTTAAATTGTTTTTAGTACAAGGTTCTCCTGTACACAATCGATGGAAGATGTGCGGTTAAGTTCAGTGCTTATGAGAATGCCCTGGGCATCAAGTCCCTGGCCTGGTCCCCTACGAGCCAGTTCCTGGCAATCGGCAGCTTCGACGAAAAGGTACCAGTACAGAGAAATTGAACACCTTTGCTTTAAATCACTCTTAATTTTAAAAAGGAAGGTTGATTTTATCGAAATTCTAAATTTAACTTTTAATATCAAAAGTTAAATCAAACGTGAATTGATAGATTGTTGCATTGAGTTAAAAGTCTTAGGTTAATGCTGCATAGCGGTACATGGAGTACTTTATAGGGCATAAATTAACGAACATGTGCAGTGAAACCCTATACCTGTATTACATAGAATTTAATTTTGAACCCGGATCTGCCAATAATAAGGAAGTAATCTAAGAATTCTTAGAATGACGTTTATTTCTTTATTGTTATAAACAGCTGATACGTACATGATACACTCCCGAGAAAGTAATGTTTTACTTTATGTCAGTAGTTTTTGACAATGATACTATGTACAGGATATTAATCTCGTTTGGTATATTACCAATTATTATGCTTCCTGTCAGTTTGTCTCTATATAACCCATACCCTACTATTCTCGCATAGTAGTCTTATGATTTATATAGCGTAAACATACTATGCCGAAATAGTGCACGGCTTTATTTACTGAATAAAATTCTTCAGTGCACACGCCGGGGATCGAACTCAAGATCATGAGATTGTCAGTCCGATGCCTTATCGATTAAGCCACAGAGACGATCACGAATTATTGGAATTTTATAAAATATATAAACTTAATTTATACAATTGACACAAGAAGGAGAAAATAGACAAATTTTATTTGAAAACAGTTATATTATTCTAAGGAACCTTACATCAATATGTACAACAAAGTTTCAAACTAAGTACATACAGATTGTTAGATGAACTGATTTCGTAGGTCATTAAAACGCTTTTTTATATGACACTTGATTGAAGGATGTTAAAGACAATTATCAATGAGAATCGACGTCTGCAAACAAATAAGTCTTACTAACAAAACAGAAAATAAAGAGGAGTTGCTTTGGGACAGAAAATCCTGACTTATTTAGAGAAAATACTAGTAACCAAAATAACTAAGCATGCAACCAATTTTAGCATGAAGATTTTGAATGAGTTCTTGCAAGTGCGCTGTGTTAGCACCGATATTTTCAGGAAAAATTCAAATGGATTGCCGCATAAATAATTACAACAGTCAGCATAATAATAACAATAGTGTTGCATTATGCATGTACTATGCCTAAATAGTAGGCAGGGTTTGACACATAGTGCACTCGCCTCCGGCTCGTGCACCATGTGTCAAACCCTGCCTACTATTTAGGCATAGTACATGCATAATGCAACACTATTATATAAGTATGATGACATAGGAGTCACAATGAAAAAATTGATTGATTTGAAGTTACTGGCCAGTACTTCTCAGAATTTTATTGTAATTGTGGGAAAAAAAAACATTCAACGAAGCAAATTTTCCCCATCACCAACAAAATAATCAGAAATTGATATTTGCAAAGAATCATATAAAGATACAAGTTCATCTTAACAAATTCTGACTCATGTGCTATATTTATAAACATGATACATGTATACCAGTTAGTTAAAGAAAGGAACCATGCAGAGTAAAATCTTCAGGAATTTTCTGCTTTCTTTAAACCTTAAAAGATATGCAGTTTGTCATTTATTATCTATGATGCAAATTGGTCTGTTTGTATTGACTTGTTGTGTTTTACCTGTATTTCTAAACATATTTTTTCAGCCAAAATAATAATCTTCAGGCTTATCAAGAAACCTCTCTGTGCATTTGTCAAATATTGAATGATAAATGATTTGATGAATGAGATAATCCCAGCATGCTCCTTTTTTTGAGCAAGAATATCTTTAAAAGCTTCTGATCATGTGATCATGCTTTTGATCAATTTAATAAAAATTTTATTTTTCTGACAAATTTTTTATGTATGTAGTTGAATAATTGATTTTGATGAACAATGTTACCATGGTAACTTAACTAAGAATTTCTTTGAAATGCTATCAAAATGCTACTCCTACTACAGATCTGGTCTGATTTCAAAATAACTTGGCACATAGGTAGACTACACTAAGATATATAATTCTATACATTGTTTTTTGATTTCAATGAACAGTGTTGCCATGGTTACTTACAGTAGAAATGACTTCGAAATGCTTCAAAACTCTACTCCTCCTACTTTTTGGTCTGATTTCAATAGAACTTGGTACACAGGTAGACAAGATGCACTATTAGATACATAATTCTATTTATTGATATTGCACTGTTGTTTCAAATCCAAGTGCTGCTTTATAAGTACAAACCAGTAGAGCAACCATTTCATCAGAAACTTTTGGTTTTCATTTGCGTTTCCAGACAAGTACACTTGTACTTTTTAGAGATGACCACACTGTACCACAGGTACCATGTTAAAATGACCTTTATACAATACTTCTTTGTATGTTTGTATTTCATTATCTGTCCCCTTGAAGATAGTGCTGTATAGCTCTATATAGCATGAAGGTGTGGAGGGAAATTCCAAAATATACAAAGGTCATACAGATTGCATGGCAATGAACAAAAATTTATGATGTTAAATTATTTCAAAAATGTTTTAACCATTTCACTTAATGTGATAGAATGATGGGATCAAACGATTATATGTCCATGTTTATAGAGATTTGGAAAAAAGATGATCATATAATTATATTTTCATGGTTTTGTGATTGCATTCAATGGAAAATATATCTTAATAACCAAATGCTTTCATAGTAATAAAAAATATTCTAGGTATGTTTGAAGAAATATTTGAAAGACAGAAAAAAAACATTTTGAGAGAAGATTACCCAGTATTTGCACATTAAGCATCAAATTATGCAAATTTTTTTTTATATTTGAACCATTATGCATGCAGATTCACATGAAAAACCTACCTGAAAGATATTTGTCACTGAAGCCTACTTTTTTCATCCATCTTGGTTCACACAACATAACTTTGTGAGGTATAAACATCAGAGTTTTAACCCCTGGACCCAAACTTTACTGATAACCCCATAACTTAGCGGGAAGCTGTCCTTTATCTGAGTGTAAGACAGGGGGATGTCACAACAGACCTAAGATGTCTGTCAAATTAAGGTGGGAATGTACTAGTTCATCAAACAGTGGATTGGTAGTCCATCCTCTGAGATTCAAACTCTATCAGTATGAACATACAATAATTATTGCAAAATATTTTTAATCTATATCCTTCACAGGGGAACTAAATGTGAGCTGATTCCTTATAATCACTCTGTATAACTTCATATAACTTGGTTTATTGCTGAATAAATGTTTTCATTTCAATTTTTATTTAGATCATGCTCTAAATAATTTTTGCACCTTAATTTTCATCTTTTTGTATATTAAAAGTTTGATTTGTTTAAATCATGAAAATTTTACAAGTTTTAGTTAAACATGAAACATTAAGTGATTGTAAATGCAAAGAGGGTCCAAATTAGTCAAAGTGTCCTTTTCTCCTTCCGGGGAGCTAACTGAAGTGAACTGAAAATGTAGCTATCATTCAAAAATGGTTTCCAAACTTCAAAATGGTCAAAAGATGTCATTCAAACCAAAACTCTAGGTCTTTGTGATTTGATAGACTATATGTGAGATGTAAAATGAAGTTTCATATTTTTCTCATTTAGGGGGTGTGCATTTTTCTGCGTTTTCTACCATATTTACCACTAACTATTATTAGATTATTTTATCATGATACATGAATTCATTTTTATCTCAGCTAGAATCTATTTAGGAATATTCAAACATTAAGTTGACTCTAATATATTTTTTAAATGTGTATTTGCATGCACCTAATTTTTTGGTCCTGTTTAATATACATGATTGTATTATAAGTATTTTATAACTTGTATTTTTGAAATTCATAGAAAAGAACACATTAAGTTTTGTACCTAATTTTGAATTAACTCAAGTTTGAATTTGGTTAATGAATTCAGATGAAAAAGTAGTTTATGGATGAGTCTATTGATAGCTGATGCATGTTGAGGGTGATTTTAACCAATATCACCGATTTCTTCAAGCTAATGATGTTAAGACTTATCTCTGTATCTAAGGGGGTAATATTGAATATAAATGTATCTGTACGGAATATTAAAATCTCATCATAATCATATATGGCTGAATTGGTGCATTAGCATAATATCTCACCTCATTATTACATAGGATATTTCTTTTCGTAATTATTAAAATGTCAAAATATTGGAATGATAGGTAAGTAATAATTCTCAAATATTTATGGTAAAAAATTGGACTAAAATTCCAAATATGATGATTTGAATAAAGCAATTTTACGAGATATGATAATGCATATGATTATGGTTTAAGTAATTTTTCCCCTTAAATGCTTGAGAAGTTGATTTGATTGGTCGATATGATTCTAGATTGAGAGGAAGTATTAAATAGAAATATTTTCTCCATCACACCTGCAAAGGTTTAATGACGGTATTGACAATGTCGCAAGAATAAAGGAATCATATGGTGCAGTGATTAGACTGAATTTTGTGCAAATAGTAAACAACTTGGGCGAAGTAAACAAAAACATTATTAAGGAAAATATCTATTTATTTGGTAAATCTGATATTTCACAGCTGAGGATGCATTGTCATATCTAGATCCTTATCCCCCACCTAGGCTCCTATTTCAGTGAAAGATTTCAAAAGTCACCATATACAATGTACCATCTTGAATATTGCAATTTTTCAAAAGAAGCAGAGCTGCACATACTTTCAAAATTTAAGGATTTTATAATTCCTCAGATTTCATGATGAAGTCTTTAACTTAAAAGTGTGATGTATGCAACAAGCAATTTCACTCTCATTTAGTATTTACACCTGTAAACTTCCAATAAATTACAAGGAATTTAAATTCTACATTGAATATCACAAGATTGATTGTTTGACCATCAATAGCTCATATTTTCAAATTTGCACTACCTTTTCATGAAATTGTAACAGCTAATTAAGCTCTGACAACTCCCAAACTCAAGATGATATTTATTGTCAACCCTTAATGTTTTTCATTCAGATTCTTGGAAAGAGTCCTTGATATTTATCAGTGGAGTACTTCACATTATTCTTTTGTGGGTTAATACATCTTGAGTAAACTATGCAGGTGACAAAACATAGATAAATACTTAAGTATCATTATCATGAATAGGTGCCTGGTACAACAGTTATACATTATACTTTTTCATACCTGTATTTCTAATCTATTTGGTATGATTATTATTGCAGATCAAGTGGTTGTTTGCAGTGACACATGAATTGCTAGTTTTTAGCCTGCCTCTTTTTTTTTTTTTTTTTTTTTGAAAAGCAATATGTTCAATTTGGTACAGGTAATAAGTTTCTCTTATTTGGTTACCTGTCCATCAACTTGATCTAGTGACAATACTATCTAACAGTGACTTAAATTATCAATCATAATCTGCCCTTTAGTTTCTGTAATTTTAAGATAGCTGTAATCATATCATCATGATTCTTCCATTTCATTGAAAGAAAATACAAGATGAATGATTTTTTTTTTAAACTTTCATATAAAAGGGCATTGATGGTTACTAATTTCACTTACCAAACAAAAAAAGCAATGTTATAAGCACACATGTTGCAATAAAGCAAAGGTCTGTGTAAACCAGTAGAGGCACAGTCTCATCAAAGACTTGTATTTCATAAACTTCCAAGGGGTTAAAGAAAGTTTTGAAATCTAAACTTTTTTTTATGTTGAAAGTTGATATGAGTTTTGCCATATCTAAGTTTTTTGACTGAAGCTGAAAGTTTCTGATCTGTAGGATTATCTTCCTTAATTTGGTGAATGGTATATATTTATTAAAAAAATTAATTTTACATTTGAATTATTCCATTATTTATTCTTAAAGTTTACATAAAAATCATGTACTTTAAAATAAGGATGCAGAATTCATATTGATGATTGGCTTGAGAAAAAAAATGTTCAGAACTTAAATGTTTACAACGTAAAATATCTACCCTATGCACTACATGTACCAGTATATTATTTACTGGGAGAGTAATTGTGTGTGACGAAATTATCTGCAAAAGGGCACTGCATGGATGAAATGACCTTATTTACAATATATTTGCGTATTTTTCAGGATACACAATCCCCTCTTATCAATGATGATTCCCAGTTTTTTGTTAGGATTAACTTTTTTAGATCCTGTATGATAATTGATTTTTAATGCGGCCCTATAAATGTTCTTTAAGTGAAGTGTGTGCCTCTGTGGACGGGTAGTAGAATATGACAGATTATGATTGATAAGTCACAGTAAGATTGTATTGTCACTAGATTAAGCCGTTCTCCTCGAGTAAAAGTCCGCATTATCTTAATCTGATAGAAGGGGGATAATCATGCAATGTTACCAAGACTAAAAATTAAGAATTAAATTCAAACTGCCTCAAAAAAATACATTTTTAGTGTTAAGTGAATGTTTTAGCTTTTTTTTCTCTATTGTAAAAGTGATAAGGAAGATACTGATGTTTCAGAATAAAGATTTTTATCCAAGTTTGATTGTTTTACTCAGGTGTCTATGGCACTGAATATCATTTTTATCTTGATTGTGTTAAATATCACACATATATGAGGTCATGTTAAAATTTCAGTTTCTCTATATTTAAAGGGAATACGAAATATCAAATTTTTGATTGTTCAGTTTTTATGCCTATATAGTGGCTACTCGACCAGGGAGTATCAGCTTTCACAATTCAAATGCTTTCTAGACCCACTTGTGTCAGAAACCATATCATTATATGATTAAAACCCTTGACAGAAAACAACCAAAGCAGTCATTTCAAAGTGTGCCCATGTTTTGATGAGTTTCTAAGGGAACAGTCTATGCATTTATTTACTGCTATTGAAATTCAAGATTTTAAAGGCAGATTGGGGATAATATAACGGTTAAAATGAGATCACTGATCTATATAATCAGTTACCATGACGAATACCAAACAAACAATGAGGGGGTTTCGAGTTAAGACAGGAATTATGTGTATTGTATTTTTCTTGCTTTGAACGTGTTATTTACATCTCAAATCACCCGTAACAATTAAGTTCAAGTGCTTCCTGTAATCTCCTGATCTGGACATATGTAAAGAAGTTTTTGTGGTTAAAATAAAAAAAAAAAAAGAGACTTAATATTTTTGAGATTTTATTGTAACGAATGACATAGAAAAGAAATATTTGACACTGCTTAGAATTTTTTTTAAAAAAAAAGAAAAGGAATGTACGTAAATTTCGGATGATTTATTGTTATAATTTTACCTGAGTATGTTAGTAACTAATCCTACCCTTAAAGTTCATATTTTGAAAAAAAACAATCTGACTAATTTAGATTTATCTGAATATCATTTTATCTTCCTGCTCATCTACTGATTAAATGTATTTAGAATAAAATGTGCATCCAAATTAAACTCAGGAATAAAAGTGAAACTAACATATTCGTGCTGGAACATTGATTTGAAAAGGTAACTACCGGGTTCCAATAGGTCACCTACTGCTCGTTTGGTGTCCTTATGGAAAGCTGAAAACTTGTCAATGTATGCATGATCTAGCATACTGTTGAAACTGATTTAGTCAAAAAATGTACCTGTTAAAAAAATCTTATCAAGTTCCTGATTCAAATATGATGTCTCAAGATTCATGTACCATATGTAATTTTATTTGACATTCATGAGACAATGAACTCAAGTTTAGAGACTTTGTTAATATTTGGTATATACCCTAATTGTCATTGTTTAACTAATGTATTTATACCATATATTTGTAGGTGAGGATTTTGAATCACATCACCTGGAAATCAGTAGCTACACACAGCCATCCTGCTACAGTCAAGGAGGAAGATGTGGTAAGTCAGCAAAGAGAGATAACTCTTGTCAGCTATCTTTGAATTAATATGATTGCTTCCCTTCAATAAATCACGTAAATAGAATGAAATGAATATCATCAAAAAAGTAGAAGTTTTTGTGATAAGAACATATATTTATTTAATGGTAAATGAGAGAGATTCATTATTTCAATTGCACAGAAGACTATAAAATTATAATTTTGAATTTAAATTTTGTATTCCAGGTGGTGTATAGGGAGACTGAGACTAGAGCCCCTTTACCTCCAGGAAATGATGTGGATGCACCCACAGCAGCCCTCTTTACCCCTCAGAGTAAATGTGAGTAGTCTGGAGGTGACTTGTTTGTCTTTGCAAAAGAGCATCCTCTCAGTAACTGCATGTCCATTCTTAAGAATTATGACTTTGATGACTTTTCTTCTCCTGCAAAAGACAGGCGTGTCATGTGACATGTAACAAGTTTTAAGTTTTGAACTCTACTATCATTTGTTTTTTCTTGATTAACGATTTCTGTATTTGTTGATTAGATGAGGTAGAACACCCTCCAGTCAACATTCCTATTGTTAAACCTGACACAAACCGTGCCAATCCCAAACTAGGGGTAGGCTTGTTAGCCTTCAGCTGTGACTGCAGATACCTCTACACAAGAAATGGTAACAAAATGCTGATATCCTTACTGATAATTTATTATACACCTGCTTTAAAGGAGAGGGGAGTATACAGTTTTACCCATGTGTTCTGTGTGTCCGTCTGTAACAAATTTTTGTGACAGTTTTCTCAGCAACTACTCATTGCTGATGCTTGAAATTTTAGCACACTCATTGTCTAGGCATGCCATATGGTGACATTCATTTTCGTACAAATACAATGTCATCTTCCTGTTTATCCATGCGTCTTTCCATACCAAATTTTATAGTGCTTTTCTGCAGCTACTCTTGTTAATGCTTGAAATTCATCATACACTCTTTGTCTAGACATGCCATATGGTGGGATTAAATTTTTATGTGTTTATTTATTTACATGAGAGCATAAATTTGCATCAGAGCAGGGGTATTACTAGTGAATATTCACTCAAAAACTTCTTGTTAAATTTTATTTTTCTTAAAATAAATGTAAGGAAAAAAATGCTTTTTTACTCAAGCCCTAGAGGGGCTTGAGTTATCTAAAACGATGCTAGGTCATCGATTTACTCCAAAAACACAAAATATATTATTTTTGAAGATAAATATATTTCTAGAAACAAAAATGAGGCTTATCTTGAAAACGTCTGTATATTCAAAGATATTAAGTGTTAAATATGGGAATTGGCGAATGAACAATGAGTGAAGCTGCCGCAACAGTTTTACAAGATCTTCGCGCTTTCCTTTGCATAGGAATCTGCCAGGTAAAGATGAAACGCCGACAAAGCATCCTTGGACGAGTCCACTGCAGACTCTTCAAGTTTGTTAACAAATTCATTGCATGGCCAGGGGGTAGGGCGGGGCCACTGAAATTGCTTATCACGGGCCTTCAAAGATTGTACTTTGAGTGACAGTAAATATATAGCACAAAATCAATGTTAAATTCTTCTTCTCAAGAATGACAACGGAACCTATATTATAATAATTTCTTTGGAAGCATGAATAGGTAGTGGACATGCCGCTCAAGTTTGAGTTGAACCCCATCCTCTCAAGCCATGGTCCGGAGGGAGAGGCGGGGCCAAAATTTTGGCCATGGTTTGCAATGAGAAATATATGGAAGCCCCCCCCTTTGAAAAACTTTTCTACAGAATGAAGCAAGCTATTTAATTGATGTATATATTGAATGTGATGTACGTCATTAAGCAAAAATACAAAAACGTATATAGTTTGAAGTATACTAAATGTCTACATTAAAAAAATTATTTCATTAAATAAGAAACGGCAACGTTACTTTATATATGCTGTATAAAATATTCCTGAAAGTGTGTCACGTAAATTCATCTTAAAAATAGAACGATTAATTATGTTTTTTAATTAAAATATATATGAATTTTATTTTCATGCACATGTAGTTTATTTAACAGAAAATTGAACAAAGCCTTATACCATTTCAGGATATTAATGATATGGAAGCACTCTCTACAGGTATTTGTAGTTTTGTCAGTAATTTGTTTTATTACAACAAGAGGCCCATGGGCCTTATAGGTCACCTGAGCATCATGCAACAACTTTACAATGAGACTTTTTCATGTTTTAAATATATCAAAATTCAATTTTGAAAAACCATTGCTAATCACAACTATACACTTAACATGTTAAGTTTGATAACTTAATACCCACAGACAAAGTAGGGGAACAAAAAAATGCATTTCGACTAATCAGTAATATTCAGCAATAATCAGTATAGTGTCACTACCACACATGAACCCCTGACCCCTGGTCCACACATTTCACAAAGAAGGCCTTGCTAATTAAAAATAATTAATACAAAGGAGAATATATCAATCAATTAATTCATTTCCAGTAAAATCTTCTTCAGGGGTGTTGAAATGACACAAAGGAAGAATGGCCCTTGCTCATCATAGCTATATAGGAAGTTCATCAGCTTAATACCCAGGAGCAGAGAAGAAGATTTTCACAATTTGCATTTTCTCTATATAACCAATAGAGCCCCGCCCTAACAACAGAACCCCTGACCCTAGGGCCATGAAATTCACAAAGGTATTCTTCCACATCATAACTTTTACTTAGTTAAATATATAGGTACAGAGAAGATTTTTAAAGAAATAATCTATTTTCACTATATAATCAATAGAGCCCTCCCTTAATACCAGAACCTCTGACCCTAGGGCCATAAAATTCACAATTTTGAAAGAAGCATTCTTCCTTATCATAACTATATACTTAGCTAGTTTGTTGAATACCCAGCAGCAGAAAAGAAGATTTCAAACAAATTCTGCATTTTCTCTAAATAATCAATAGAGCCCTGCCCTAACACTAGAACCCCTGACCTTGGGGCCATGAAATTCACAATTTTGCAAAAGGCATTCTTCCTCGTCATAAATATGTACTTAGTTAGTTTATTTGATACTCAGGAGCAGAGAAGAAATTTTTAAAGAAAAATGCATTTTCACTATATAAGAATAGCCCCACCCTAATCCTAACCCTGGGGCCATGAATTTCACAATTTTGGTAGAGGACTCAATGATCATTACATTCATGCTAACAGTTTGACTGCTTGATGTCCAGGCGTAAAGAAGAAGATTTTTAAAGATTGCACTAATTTTAGTGGTTTTGGCCCCACCCATCAGGCCCCAGGGGGGCAGGGACCATGAAATTCATAATTTTTGTTTTCCTTCACCCATAGATGCTTTATGTAAAATTTGGTGGAAATTGGTTGAGTGGTTGCAGAGGAGAAGCTGAAAATGTTGAAATGTTAAATTTTACGATCGACGCTAAAATAAATGTAAGGAAAAAATGCTTTTCTACACATTACAAAAATCTTAGAATTGCTGACTGAAGGCAATCAAATGTAATACATTCTTTTAAAATACTTTCATAACTTCTATAATTTATAATAATTTTTTTATCATTAAAAAGACAATATGCCAAATTCATTATGGATATGGGATGTCCAGAAACTCAAGCTGTGTGCTTTGTTGACTCAAGGAGCTGCAATAAAATGTAAGTACATTTAAGGAATAAATTCAATAACTACCTAGGTTATATAGTATAAGTTGGGATGGGGCAGTATACACTTTATAAACTGCAAAGTAGTTTATAAAATAGCAAAAACTGTTCTAGCAGAGCAATTGCCCTTCATAACGACATGTTCAGTGAAGAACATTTTTTTTTAAATATAATATTTCATCACTGACAGGTGTGGAATGGGACCCCCTCCAGTCCCGGCTGGCCCTGTGTACCGGTACCAGTAAGATGTACATGTGGTCCCCCGCGGGCAGTCTGGCTGTGGAGGTACCAGTAGAAGGTAAGATAAAAACAGCAATGACAATACAGTCTAACATTCCACAAAAGGTATGGTGTGTTCCTTATGTTTAGCTCAAAAGTCATAGAGCAGTTCTTTGTATTTCAGTTTCATAATGCTTCTATTTTTTTCATGATAATTTTTGTACTTGCACAAAATAATCCTGCATGTACATAAAGAAAAAAGTTTAAAAGTTATTTTAATCACACTTTTTAAAATTTATCAAAGAATTTGAATCATTTTGAAATTGTACATATTCTTTTTCTAGGAGTATTCAATGTTCATTCCTTGAAGTGGCATCCTGATGGTAACACGATCCTGTTGTTAGGGAAGGATCAGATGTGTGTGTGTTACCTGTCTGACCCCGGGACAGAGAAGAGCTAGTCAAGACTGATCGGTCGTCTCATTTAATAAGGATCCTCATTGTAACATTGCGAAAATGAGCTGGTGTGTGTGTGAGAGACAGTAATAAAACGTTGGGGATAATTTTGTCCAATATAAGGCATATCATAGATGTGAAGTTTATATTTACATATGGCATAGTAAGTGAAATGAGATATTTTCTTGTAGCAAAGTAGGAATGAATTAGCAAATTGTGTTTTTTCTGCATCTTTATTTACTGTATATACTCGCCTATAAGTCAGATTTTTAGGAGTTAAACTTTGGTCCAAAACTCTATGTCCGACTTATAGGCGAGATATAAATATATTGGTATTTTAGAAGGTCAATATTTCTAACATAAGCTTAAAAAATACAACCGACTTATAGGCGGACCGACTTATAGGCGAGTATATACGGTATATGAAGCTATGGATTTTTTTTTAATTATATAGATATGAAGCTGAAATTCTGTCTCGTATTTCATTATTTCATAAATTTATAAAAAACAGGCAGCGTTTATAATGTTTAAAAACAAATGTACATATTCCAAGTGACTTATTTAAGTAGTAATTCCAAGACTTGAAAAATTCATTACATTCCAACACATATGTAGGATGAATATGTATAGTGCATAATACTAACATTTTGAATTTATTTATGACACATATTCATGTATATTGGTGCTTGTTAATTTACCAAGAATATAACTAATAAAAATATTCATAATTGAATTGGTGACTTATGTACTTTAAATTCTTCCACCATTTTAGGTTGGGGGAGATTCTTTGTACTTAAATTGTCTGTCTATCTTTGACTTTAAGATCATAAGCAACATAGTTTGAACTTTATTGGCTTCTTCCCTTGAGCTGAAGAGTTCCACTAAAGCAAGGACATATGTGCAATACTTTTATTAATGTCTATATATGATGTTGTACGCCTATTTCCAAACAAATTTTGATGAGAAAAAATCTTGAATTTATGTTTAGTAAATTTTGTATAATTTTTTAGCTCTACTGGTCAGAGACCAGAAGAGCTTATGCGATAGTAATGCGTCCGTCGTCCGTCTGTCTAGCTGCCTGTCTGTCTGTAAACAATTTTTCAAAATGCTACTCCTCCTACAGTTTTGGTCTGATTTCAGTATAACTTGGCACACAAGTAGACTACACTAAGATACATAATTCTGCATATCGGTTTTTGATTTTGATGAGCGGTGTTGCCGTGGTAACTAAAAATAGAAATTTCTGTGAAATTCTTTCAAAATGCTACTCCTCCTACAGTTTTGGTCTGATTTCAATATAACTTAACACACAAGTAGACTACACTAAAATACATAATTCTGTTTTTGATTTTGATGAGCAGTGTTGCCGTGGTTACTAAATATAGAAATTTCTGTGAAATTCTTTCAAAATGCTACTCCTCCTACAGTTTTGGTCTGATTTCAATATACTGCCCCCCAGTAACTTGGTACACAAGTAGACTACACTAAGATACATAATTCTGTGTATCGGTTTTTGACTTCAATGAACAGTGTTGCCGTGGTTACTAAAAATAGAAATTTCAGTTAAATACTCTTAAAATGCTACTCCAAATACAGTTTTAGTCTGATTATAATATAATGTAATATAATTTATTGCTGTTTTAAAGTTTCAATTTCCATCTGCTTATAAGTAATTTCTCTTCCTTTGCTACAAGGACAAACCAGTAGAGCTTCAGTCTCGACAGAGACTTCTGGATTTAATAATGCAAGAATTTCCTTCATTTGCTCAAAACCTCTTGTAACACATGCTGATTTTTTGGTCTAAGAACATGTATGCTAGGGGGAGAAAAATTATTTAGATTTTAAAGGTGCATGGACACAGATTTAAAGTTAATATTTTCTGTATAATATCACAACTTATATATTTTAATAGCATTTCACATAAAATATATTAAAATTTTATTTCATCTTAAAGTTATTGAAACTTCAAATTTTTGGATGGGTTTGATTGATACATCCTTGCACTTTCAAAAATTTTACTTTTATTCTTAATACCTATGAAAAGTGGCAATCTTGTTGCATATTTATGAAAAATATTAAAACTTTAATCCAGAAAAGTAATTATGTTCAGAGAAGATAAGTTAGAAAGCAAAACCCCTTCACAAGTATCGCCATTCCGCGCTAAGTGTTGTGTGCAGAGTTTAGCAAATAGATCACGTCTGTGAAAAGTACACAGTTTTTGTAAACAGGGCACAAGCTCTGTTATTGTTGATGGTTACGATTCACCGGGTGTGTACAATTGTTAAAGTCTGCTCACCACAACTATACGGACTGACAATATACTGTGTGTATGTTTTGCTTTCGAATAATTTCTACTCTGAATTTTCTGGATTATACTTTTAATATTTTTCATTTATAAACAACAAGATTGCCACTTTTCCTAAGTATTAAGAATAAAATTTGTGAAAGTGCAAGGATGCGTCAATCAAACCCGTCTAAAAATTTGAAGTTTTAATAACTTTTAGATGTAATAAGATTTTAAAAATATTTTTGTGTCAAATGCTATTAAAATATGCAAGTTGTAATATTATACAGAAAATATTTACTTCAAATCTGTGTCCATGCACCTTTAAGCTTGATGTTCAAATATCTGTCTTATTTGGATCAAATGTCAGAAAGATATCTTGGAATCAATAGTTTCTTTACTAATTTTGGAACAAGGATAACATTTGATTTAGAAGCACAATAAGAAGATGCTGGATGGATTGTTTTTAACTTCACTGAACAAAAATTCAAAAACAGGACAGCAATAGCAATGTAAATACAGTCTAGGCGTATAGACTTGGTGGAGAGATGCACTCTGAGTGATCCCTCATAATATGCTAATCCAACAAATTTTATTAAAGTAAGGAATAAAAGCAAAATGAGTCAAAATTTTTGTCAAATTTTATTCAGAACTTGTTTTTTTATAAGGAGAAAAGTAAATGGTTATGGATGTTTTGCCAGTAAACCTAATGATAATGCCCTGCAAAATGCCCCAGTACAGTAGTCACCGAAGATATACACAAATATTAATACATTTTGGGCAGTTCTTAAAATGTCACAAGATATTCTCACTATATAAAGCTGCATCATCTTAATTGATTTGAAATTTTTCCTAGTATCATTTCCATTTTGACCTCCAGCGCAATACTTTAATTGATCCTTCAAGATTTTCAATCTACAAGATACATCTCATCACAACTACTTGAAAAGTGAATAAACTACTTGTACATGTACTAGCTACGACGGTAAGAATGGTCACAGTAATATATATACCGAAGAACCTCTGAACTCTACTGTTTATTCTGCAGTCTGTTACTGTTAAAGGAGGCGTAGAGATACAGAGACTGGAAAGTGTTGACAAAAATAGGAATAGTTAGCGAGATAAACAAGACTCCGGACAGTGCACACAGAGCGCCGATAATCCGTCCAACGGAAGTCCTGGGAACCATGTCGCCAAAGCCTACAGTAGTCATAGTGACAATACTGAACCACCAGGCGTCAGGGATGCTCCTGAATTCTTCATTACTCTCAACAAAGTAGAGAAAGTTGGAGAACAAAAGCATTCCCATAAAAAGAAACAAAATCATCGTCATTAGATCTTTACGTCCAATTCGGACTGAGTAGCAAAGGATCTTGAATGCTGGAACGTTCTCAATGATGCGGAGAAGACGCAGAACTCGGAGCATTTGGAGATACAGCAGAGGATCAGCGGTAGTGGAGGAACCCGTCATGTCAGCCAAGAGAACAATGTACCGTCCATAGCTCGCCACCAGGACGATAATATCCAACCAATTCAGACATCCCTGAAAATAACGACGAAGGGAAGGGCAGCATACGAGACGAAGGATCAACTCGGCGGTGAAGAAGACATTTGTCAAGTGCTCAACGTAAAGGAACCAACGATTTTCAGGATTGCTGTTCTTCATAGTTAAAACTTTGTCGCGTGCTGCATTGGAAAATATTTTCCCTCCTCCTGCGTATGTCTGCGAATCGTTCCGTAGCGACTCGTTCATCCATGCGCCTTCTGTAGAACCGTACATTGCTGTTGTGTATGCTGCGCTGCTTGTAGTTGACACGTGACTGTCTGTTCTGCCTCCCTGATTGGTGACAGAAACCGTACTAAACGCTACACCGAAGATCGCTAGTAGTATGAAGACGGTGGACAAAGCAAAGTACACCTGTAATAAAAGATGGGAAAATATATAGTAGAATATGACGGTATATTTATTTATTTAAACAAAATATGATCTAGCCTAATCGTATCTTTAAGATATTTTCAACCATAAATTTTTTTTCTCTTGGACAATTCTAGTTTATGTATATTTAAGGAACTTGTGAACTTTACGTGATTTACCTCTTAAAAGAAAGAAAAAATGGGATTTGTTCGATTTTAACATTGCAAAATGTCCACATTGAAAACGAAGTAAAAGTACTACGTACATAAATCAAACAGATTTCCCACTAACCTTTGTTTTAATGTCGTTATTTTGATTGTCAAGAATCTTCCACATCCTGCTCTTACGATTGTTGGTAACACTTTTCTCAACTTCCTGATAGTGGTCATCTTCCGCCTCAGTGCACCGTAGAAACCCTTTCAGATTCTCTTGCTCGCGCATGAACAACACATACCGGTGATGACAACATTTTTCCAGATCCTTTACGTCGATTCCCCAAAATTCCAGTTCATCCAGAAACTCTCCGATACAGACAGTCGGAGGAATATGAAGCTTACCGACCAAACAGTAGTTGTAAACGGCCTCAAAAGATTGCCTGGGCCGCTCGAAACGGTGCTCTGCCATATCAGACGTGACCTTGAGATTAGGTAATTTTTTGGCCGTGTCCTTGCTTAATATATATTTTAGTCCAGTGATGTTAAGTGTGTCCATCTCTTCAGCGTCCGTTTTCGTTTTGATTGTTTTTCATCTTAGTCTTGGTCTTTATGTTCGTCATTTGACATGTCTGAGATCAATTCCGTCATAACCATATATGGTTTGTAAACAAAGTGGAAGAGAATATCAACAATATTACTATAAAGTAGTCTTCTTGAGATATTAATTAACACCCTTCTCAACAATATGGAGACCATAATTTTATTTCTATAACAATATGTTTATGTTTGCTTACAATCACACGAACTTTCCGTGGTCCTAATAGAAGACTATTATAGTGTTTGTAAATCCATAACTAGAAACATGTCCATATGGTTTCAAGCATAAAAAGAAAATTACATCTAATGCAAGCAGATTCAATTCTAATCGGCGATTGTTTTTAGGTCAATAGACCACAAAACGATAAACATAACAGTTTTGTAAATCATTTTGTCGGACACATTTACTAATTTCATATACCTATTCCATGTATTGATGGACAAGAAATCCCAAAGAAATAGTAATATTTGCCTTTTCAAATTTTTTTGTTACATGTTTATTTGGTTTTTTTAATTCCGCTAAAATGATAAAAAAAATTCGAAACTGAAAGTGTTATTTATTAGCGAAATACTATCTAGATAGAGAAAACACCCATACCAAACATGGGGGTGTTCTTACTCCTACATTTCCGAATATAATTCTTACTATTAAACTATTATAGAATGTTCTTTGAAAGGCCTGTTATACCCCCTTCTGCCATCTCCTGACGGTTTCATTGCAGTATAGCATACGTATGAATAACAAATGGTGACAAAACAAATAGAACATCAAAAGTAACATTATGATTTGACTTATTTTTTATTTCCCAAGAAAAATGTTTCATTTATACATAAAAATATTTTTCTAAAAATGAAGAATTTTGTCTGATGCAAAATGTTATTTTTAGGTAAGTGTGGTTTCTATATATAGATATGTATTCATTTATAGAAAAATAAAGCAGTGGATATTCACTGATGCAGTATGATGATAAGAATATAGATGAAGTAACAGAATTTAACTATTTAGGAGTTATATTATGTAAATCTGGCTCATTTATAATGGCAAAAAAGAAAATAGCTGAAAAGGCAACAGAAGCACTATACGAAGTATTAAAAAAAGGAAGATTACATAACCTATCAATAATTTGTCAACTAGAGTTATTTGATAAAATTGCGCAACCTATTTTGTTATATGGATGTGAAGTTTGGGGATTTTCAAATAATGCAATAAAAAAAGGGTTCACCTAAAATTTTGTAAACATCTACTCCATTTAAAAGATTCAACCCCAGATTTCATGATATATGTAGAAGTTACCCCATATCATACTGTTGGTTATGTGTAGATACCCGATGGGCGTGGTCATAATGACACGAGGGAGCGTAGCTCCCGAGTTGTCATTATGACCACGCCCATCGGGTATCTACACATAATCAACAGTGTGATATGGGGTAAATGACTTGTACCATAGTTTTCAAAAATCATTCACATGTAAGTCAGCTTAGGAATCGGTCGGACTGGTTCGTGTGATTGAAACATTTTAAGTGTTTTGTTTAAAAGATGTATTTGGATTTTATATGATTTTAAGCTTCTTCGTGTCCTTCTGACCACGTCCATCGAATATAGGGTAAGTCATTTGTATACAATACTTTCTAAATTTTGCTACAAGTTTTGCCCTATACTCGGCACTCAGGGTCATTGAACAGTGAGGGATCTTCATGTCAACACCTTCTGCGACACGGTACCTCTGTTTATACTTTATAGGTCTCCACGTCCCACAGTGGGATTCAACTCCTTATTTCGTGGCTCTAGGGCAGGTGCTTTAACCACTGGGCCACGCAAGCGACATAAAAATTAAACATATCTAGGCCCGTTTAAAAAGTTTGATTTTTGTAATTGAAAAAATAACGAATATGGTTTCAATGATATATGTTAATTTGTTATGTTTTTTTTCTCGTAAATTTCAATCGTCAAAATTAATTAGTACATACTAGTAATTTAAATTTATTATGAACTTGGTTTAACTTAAATTTTTGTTAACCTGATACAAACTTTGCCGTGCACAGTGGTACGTTGATTGAAATGTTTGTTAGGGGTTATGTATATTTCATTTTAATGAAAATTAGATCCGCAAACGAAAATGTTATTCAAGTACAGTAGTGTACACTTGCTTTTACGTCAAGTATGTACCGTGTTTCCTTTGTTGGTTATCAAAAGAACAATATATTAGAATCTACTTAGCTAACGTCACCCTGGTCATTACACTATTTAAAAAAATGTTCAAAAAATCAAGCGATTTCTGAAGTTTTTTCTTCACTTTTAACTAAAGTATGTAAAGTATTAATGGCCGTTTTTAACTGTTATTTATTACAAAATGCTGTATAAAATTGAAAATTTTTACTCCTTTTTACTCTCCTCTTTGGATGAGGTGACTTGCGGCCCCTCGTATACTGACAAAAAATTAAATGTCTAAATTTTACTCAAATTTTTGTATGTAACTAATCACTAATATGTGTACCTGTATAGAATACTATTTTTAACAAAAATAGAAACGTGATTTAATAGGTATAGGTCTTTTATTGGGGTAGGGGTAACATGTTTACATTCAATTCCCATTGCATTTTAACCCCGCCCCACTCTTTGAAGCCCTTAAAATATACGAGCGCAGATAGGTACAATTTTCTCCTTTGTCTGGTCACTGTATTTTATTGAAATCTACCTATACCTGAAAGGAGAAAATTGTACCTAATTGCGCTCACATGCTATTTTTAAAAAAATTGTAAAATATAGTTGGCCTTTCCCGTTATAAACAGATCGACGGAAGTAGATTTTCTGACGTAAGAATGAATTCATATGCTAATCGAGGCACGGGCGATACTTTCTAACTGACCAATCAGCTAAATGAAATTCGTTACGAGTGAGTACCACAAAAATACTATGGCAACATGCTTGGAATTTTACTGCTTTCCGATATCTTTTTATGCATTTGAGTCACAGATTAGACACGGATCTACATATGTACCATTTCCTAGACCACAATAAAATTTTATACACTTACAAGCAGTTGATAGAATATACATGATATACATTAGTGTAAAGTTTTGTAGCGTGTTTGGTGAGCAATTCGCTAGTTCTACACGTATTTCCGAGTATCGGTGAATACAATTTTCATGTGCATTTTTTGCCCTAAAAACCGTAAATGTTGAAAATCCATGCGTATTATTAAGTATAAGTAGAATTGGCTGACCATTATAAAAGTTTGAATGTAAAAAAAGATAACAGGTAAACCTAAACCACGTGTCTCTGATAAAATTTAAGCGTAGTAAACCAGCATGTTTTGTTGTTCTGTCATCGGATTGGTCAATGAAAAAGTGCGAAATGATAACAATAGCCATATAAGGTCTTCTCAGACACGCATATCCCACTATTGTACTGAGACCCGCCCATTCTCTTGCCTTAAAAGAAAATATTCGCACAAACCTGGCCGAATTTAGCTGTGATAGGGTCTAAAAAATCAAAGATAATGCAGTATTCCTTATAATTAAAATGTGCCTGAACTATTGAAACTATTCGAAAGGCGTCGTATTTATTCACTCATGTTTGAAAACTACCAACATAGTTGTTGATTAAATATAATTCGTCGTGGAAAAAGTGGCTCCAGATAGCAGTTATGTCACATCATCCTTTGGTATAACAAGCCCGTATGATTGCTTCATTTAAAAACCGTGCATGATCGTTTTATAAATAGTTCTTTTGTCCCGACTCGATGGGCGGAGTTATAGAAAAGTGTGGGTTATGTACAGAAAACCCACACTTTTAACAAAAGAAAACACACCTAACTATGGTACAAGGCGAACTTGGCCGACACTCCATGGAAATCCAAATAAAAACGCGCATATCTTATTGGTCAAAACTAATCACTGGAAAGGAAACGAAAATTGCAAATTTATGTTATAAACTAGGCTTCATTATAAATCAAGAAATAGGAGGAAAAATTGTTTGGCTTGAAAATATTAGAAATATCTTGAATAACTGTGGACTATCAAATGTATAGCTTGAACATAACCCAATTAATATTAAATGGTTAAACGGGAAAGTTAAACTCACAGTAATTGATCAATTCAAACAAAGTTGGCAATCAATCCTTCAAACCTTACCTAGAGCATTAAATTATAGAATATACAAAGACGAACTAAAATTTGAAAACTATTTTAATATTTTCTCAAAAAAGGACTTAATAACATTCTGTAGATTTCGAACATGTAACCATCATTTACCGACTGAAAGTGGGCGCTGGCTTAATATACCAAGACAAGTTAGAATTTGTCCCCATTGTAATCTAAAAGAGCTCGGAGATGAGTTACATTATATATTAAAGTGTAGCTTGCTACAAACAGAAAGAAAACTATGCTTAACAGAAAAACACATAAAATTTCAGAATATAATTAGTTTTAAAACATTATCAATAACAATAAACACTGCTTTCTAAGAAAATTGTGCTCCTTTATAAAGAAAATAAATAAAATATGCTCCCCGGCCTAAATTCCCATACTTCACATTTATAGCAACCTACAATTTTTTTGTTTTTGTTTAGTTTCTTATTCATGCATGCATTTTAGACCTACTGTTGTATATAAAATCACCTATATGTTATCTCTGTATACTATTGTAAAATGGTAAAGAGATTGAAATAAATGACTGATTGACTGATGTACATGTAACAACAGAATTTATTTGGTTTAAGGATATGGGCAATGTACCCTACCTACTGATAATTTTTCAAGATATTTTAAATTAAAGATGATAGTGCCATAAGAAGCTCGTAGACAGAAACTGAGTATGCATTACCAGGGGTTTTGAAAAGATATCAGTTGATGAAAATTCTCGTATAATTAAAAGAAAAATACACAAAAATTACTATACATACATTCTAGTTGCATGGTTCATCAAAATTTTTTATAGAAGAAGTGAACAATAGTATG